CTTCCTCAGCATAACAGCGAATTTCATAGTGTGGGAAAATAATACTTTAAAAAGATACACGCCTGTGCTTTCCTGCTCTGAAATTAACGGCTCTCACACTGGAGAGTTGATACTCAATGAAATCCGAAAACAAGAGGAAACCTGGGGCATACAATTCGACGCGATAGTGTCCGACAACGCATCCAACATTACCAAAGCCCTGGCTGATGGTAACATTTTCAACATACGATGTTTCGCCCATACTATAAATTTGGTGATCCGCCATGCTCAGAAGCGACGCCATCGTATCTTCTACGTTCTCGTTGATAAAACTTAATTGTAACTTCAATGATATCCAACAGTGAAAAATTAGCCTAGATGTTTCCGGCGGAACCTTATAAAGACGCGGGGTTCAAATCTTTTGTTTGTTTCTATGGAAAGTGTCAATCCCGATGAATGCTCACAATCGTTACTAACTCTATTTCGGTCTTACACACATGATAAAAATTTGAAAATTTATAATTTTGCCCTATATTTATGTCACCCAGCATCCAAAAAAGCAATCCTATATTTCGCGCAAATATTATTGCCTTTTCATAATATATGTTCGCCAGTTACTTTTTCTGATAGATAAAGTTGACTGCTTGAAATATAATTTTCCATCTAGCCACAATGTCGCTTTTAAAATTTTGAAACATTTTCTCAATACAAGGTTAATATAAGGTATTATTCACGCAAAAGAGGAGAAAATAAAATTATTGAAAAATAGTATGCTAGTAAAACTTCAGTAAGAGCTCAAGTCAAATATAAAATATATTATTTTATACACTCCAGATTATTAGATGTTCTTGTAACCTTGATATATGCCGTTTAATATATTTAAATCATAAAAGCACATTGACGCATCAGATGCATTAACTCAGAAGCGAAATTTTCTTAGAGGGAACACTGGGCGTAACTTCTAGATAACAAGCATTCTCAGACTGAGATCATCTGCCTTTTGTTGCAAAACATTTCTATTTTTTAGCGATCACAGTATGGTCGAACTTGGAGAACTTCAAATACTAAGAGGTTGTTATGCTGTGCCGTCGCCTAGAATCTAAACCTTGGATCAAGGTTTCTTAACCTATGTTTAATTGAGCACCCGTGGTTTGGCGGAATTGTTCCAGGGGTTTGAAAAAAGTTATAGAAGGCTCTCTTTGTCGTCCGTCACAGATGTCACACCCTTGATAGTCCGGCTCAACCTCGTTTTCAGACATAAAGTTTTTTTTATTTGTGATTATTCATCTTGGGGTTATTGCCCATCATTTCTACATGGGTGTGGAGTTTGCAGCCTTGAGCAATTTTTTTTACGGCTCGATATTTGTATTAGTGTTTTTCATTAAATCTGTGCACCATAATGATGCACAACCTGAACCCTAACCTGTTACAATACTATGTTCAGGTTGTGCGCCATCTTGGTGCACAAACAACGGAAGCACCAAATTTACTATGAAATAAAAATCAATAACTTTTAGGTATTTTTTGAACCCAGCTTTGGGTCGCGACCCATATATATATATGGAAATACTGTTGTAACATACGCGTAAAATAAAGAGTACTATTTAAAAATACCCGCTCTTGTTGCAATTAACAATACAAGCCTGCTAATGCAGCAGGCAGTGGTTCAAGTGGATATATACCCGGTGAAGAACAGTCAATTATTTGTTAGCGAGAATTGTTATGCAGCGGGATGATCACGACGATGCAATGAAAGATAATACTATCACGAGAACAAGAATGAGATAATTGCTACATTTTATAGTATATCCCTGGGAAAGAATGTAGTTCATTCTTATGTTCCATGCCAATGCTTTTCAAACTACCAAAGACTTTCAACACTTTTGCTTCTTCTCTTCTATAAAAATACATTGTTATTATATATTCGCATTTCCATCTGTTTGTTCGTGCTCCCAGATAACCGATCAGTGGCCTCCAAGAGGGTCGGGGTCCCCTTTTAGGAAACCCTGTCATAAACTATAAGAGGCTACCGTGCTTCTCTTGCCTGTTGTCATGCTGTCCCTCGAATTCAGCTACAACAAAAAATTCACGAAAACGGGTTTTAGATTTTATGATTTCCTTATTATTCTCGACAATGAATGATATATATGCGGGTGGTAAAATGCCGAGTTATTCCAACAACATGATCATGTTTTGCAACTTACAACCAATATTTTATAAGTAACTTTGCTTGACAGAGCCCCAAGGCCAAGAGATCTGAATACAAATATCAAAAATGTGAGGCCAAAAAAGTTACACTACAACCTAGCCAAATGTGCTGTATTTACGATAGATAACAGGTTTACCAAAAAGCATTACATGAAAAATGGTAAAATGAAGATCAATTTAGCAATATCTACTTAGGATTTGGTGATATGCATCTGTTGATGATTTTATCTGTTTGTTTCGGAAGTTCAATGACAGAATTAATTGTGGTTGTTGGGGATGTTTCAAAAAAAAGGTTGCATGGAAAAAAGGTTTGGCAAAATGTCAAGGTTTGAGAGTAGTGAAGAAGTAGAAAAAATACTTCCATGTGTTCATCATTTGATAACCACGCCACAGAACTTCTCCGATAAATATACGCAGCAATTGCGAGAGGCAGAAATGCCAAGATGGGATTTCATCGCATTGCAAACCAATATTAGCGATTCTCAGATATATTCGCGCATTCCCATCTGAACAGCGTGGAAAAGATTATACCTTTCTACACACTTGAAAAACTATGTCAGATGAGCGTCATATTATTGAATATCAGTAAAGGAATAAGGAGTGCAATGGGAAAAGACATAAAAAGCGTAACTTTCAGTAATATGCATCAAATAATCTTATTGTGGAATATATATTTAAAAACAATTCGTCACGCCAACCGCAATCCGAAACTTTTTGTCTCTGGCTGAGCTTAGATACCAATTGGCACTCATGTAAACTGGTGAGCGGCACGCGATGGAGCAGATAATATGAGTATCCACCCCCCAGCTGTCATTTGAGTAGGTACTGCTGTTTTTATTGCAGATGATACTGATTTTTTTGTATTAAAGATTTACTGGCATCACCGATTTAAGGATGTCAAGTAATGGATATAAATAAACCATTTGAAAACCAACACGCGGTATTACAAAACTTACTTCCAACACGCGGTTTGGATGAATAAAAAATCTGAAACTAGTATTCTTTAAAACAGCATACAAATTCTATGGAATGAAATCATACACAAAAGCTCGTCCAAAACCTATAGCTCAATAAACAAGTGGAATTTGATGCATGTTCGCAAAAATGTGCGCGTTATTATGTACCACCGAAGCACGCAGGAAAATGTGTGTGGTGTACTAGTGAATCGTGATCAAAATGTTTGACTCATCTATGTTGGCATAACAGGTGCACATCTCGGTTTCGCATACGCATACTTTCTATCTCCACAAGGATATATTAATTTGGCCAAAGTCAATGCTGCACCTGAAAGGTTCCGGTTCTTCCAAACGAAAACACGTTACACATCGTTAGATACCAGTGGATGGTTTTGCATGGCCTTGTTCGGAGTGAGAGACGAGGTCGAATATTCCAATCCATTTCAACTAATAAAATATTTCCTAATTCCCGAAGCTTTAATCAGGAAAACGAAATGCCCGCAGCAACACAAATGTAGTTTGACGAGCGCAAAAGAAAGTGGCTAGATGCTGTCGATAGATCTTGGCTTATATTGGTGAAATAAACTACCATTAATCTACTAAAAATGAATTTCTGACATTGTAAGGAGATGCAATGTTACTATGTATTCAAAACTAACCCGTGTAGTTATGAAATAATTGTTTTTAACGAAAAGGTGCTCCCGAAGTATTCGTCCAAGATGGCGCACAACCTGAACATTGCATGTGTATCAGGTTAGGATTCAGGTTGTGCGTCATCTTGGTGGGAATACTTAAAATCCATTTAAAAAAAATTGCTCAACGTTATATACTCCACACCCACCTGGGTATCATTATTTATGTCATCGACATTATATCTAAACAATAAAAAAAACTTTATGTCCCAAAACAATGTTAATGCCCGATTCTGCCGGACTATGAGGTGTGCTTGCGTATTAGCGATTTCAGACGCTTTCTGATATAGCTTCGAAGGTTTCGGTTGTTGTGACTAACCTCAGGGAACTTGAGTCGAATATTTGCGAAAACGACACCATATAGCCATAATCCACTACAAGTTGAAAATCAGAAGTAAGTGTACATGATTGAAAATAAAATCAATGCGTGTTTGAGGTTCCCCAAATGGCCTATCTTTTAAGCTTTGCACGCCGACGATCTTATTATGGCACCGATTCATACCGTATCAAAATTCCTTTAAAACAATTAACAATGCTTTCGAGTGCATTTGATAGCTATTCGAAGTCTGAGATTTTTTTAATGTTTTCAGTCACACAACATATACTAACCCTTGTACCAATAAGTTTTTTGCACAGCATGGGATATTTCGACAACGCTGATCACGGTGGTTTGTGCGAAAAACTCTTTGCTATTCCCAGCAGTATGGCGGCTAATACCCTTCGACAACCCATGCTCAATCACAATTACAGAACCATTCGCACTCTATATAAATTGAAGACGGTTGCATTTTCTATAACTTTGCGCAAAATATTAGATTCCGGTTATAAAGTTCAGGTTGATCTCCAGGTTTTCACTGTTTAAAACGTTAGGATTCGACGAAATCTTACAAAATAACTTGCAGTATATATTTCAAGTTACATTTAGTAACACTCAATATTACTAATGTTTTCCGATAGTTTTATCAAAATTATAGACACGCAATGCTAAACTTATATTGGTAACAGTTTTGACTTATGACACAGTGACTATTTTAACAAAATCATTGTCATCATGCGAAAATCAGTGTAACATTAATGTTTCATAATATTCCTTATAATACCTTCATACCAATTCTACAAAGAAGCTGCAAATTAGAGTTGTTTTCATCATTTTATTTTAATAATATTATAAAAAGAGTTAGGTAGGTTCCTTATCGTATTTGGTCTTGGTAATTGAATATTCTTTTATATCGCTCATGGTAGATTTCACTGGGGACTCAAGGTTATCTCCGTTTGCATTGAGATTCGAGGACAGATCATTCTTCCATGGATAGTCACAATTTTCTCTTGCAGATAGAACGCAATTTTCAATTCCATTGACGTCACCCAATAAATGCTTCTTGTCAGTTTCTAACTTGCCAAACAGTTTCATCAATAGATCCGACGGCTTAGTTTCCTCCTCTTCTTGTTTTCTCTCGTAAGAGGACTTTAATGATTGTTTTTCTGTCGAATTGTAGTTTCCCACAGTGAGATATTTTCTTCTAGTGGGCGTGTCTCCAACTGTCGGAGAATAACTGCCAAAATAGATAACTTCTTTTTCAAGTTTTTCCAGCCTTTTCTTGCAGCCATCAATGGATGAAGGGATACCCAAATGGAGATTTTCAATTTCTTTTGAAAATTGGTATCCTCTTTTCTGCATTTTTTCTACAGTATATTTTTTAGGTTCGGTCCAATAATCCTCTTTGATTGATGAAAGTTTTTTCTGTGTATTTAATTCGGATTTTGATACAAAGATTTGGTCTAGTTTTAGGTTCGAGCAATCCAGGTTACATTCGTTATTATGAGGTTCTAATGTACTAATCGAATTTGGTAATACCTCTTTGTTGTTTATTAAGGTATGAGCCTTTTTATTTTTGTTATTATTTTCATGCTTATTTTCTTGATGTGTAAAATTTGAAAAGTCCAGCAGTCTTCCATTTTGGTCAAGATGTCTTGTTACTTTAGCCTCATTCTTTTGTGTACTCTTTTCATCACACTTTTGTAACAATTGTAAAGACGGAGTTTCAAACTTTCTTGTCAAAAATATCGATGATGTTTGCAATTCGGTGTTGGGTGTTTCTATCTTATTCGAATCATATGTTTCTGGCATACACTGTTCCGAAGCATCAGTTTTCAAAAAAGGCGACGGATTTTTAATATCCTCAGATGAATTGAAAAGTAAATCTGCAGTTCTCGCATCAGTGTGTTCTTGCTCATTTGTGATAAGTTTTTCAGATGTGGAGATAGATATTTCTTGATCAAACGAATGTGCGGTTCGATTACCTGAGTTCAAAAGATCGTCTTTTTTAACCTGTGTAATATCTGGTGAATGAACCAATACATTTGAGTTTCCATCATTTTCAGATTTCAATTTCTCAGGCTCAGTTCCCATTTCAGTAGTCTGTAGTGTAGGGGGTGCTGCAAAATTGGATTCATGAACCTCTGAAAACTTACTTTTCGATATTATGTGTCGCTTTCTACGCATCGCATAAATATTAGTGTTGCCAAGAGCCCTTTCTTTCTCTCTCAATTTTGATTTCGTTTCATCAAATTCTTTCACCATTCCGTCAAGTTTTTTCTTAGTTTCTCTATGTCTTTTCCTCTCAATATTAATTTGTCGCAGAAAGCAATTTGACGTAAGTTCCACATGTTTATTTAGCTTCTCAATTTTCTGTTCAGCGGTCTCCAGAATGCGCTCCCTATCGGCAAGCTCTTTTGTTAGCGTCGATCTTTCATGGAGCTCATTTTCTTGAACAACGTCTTTTAGTTTCCGCAAAGTACTCTCCATTCTTAACATCGATTTGCTATTTTCGCGCAGTTTGGATTCTAGTTCTCTTTCAGCAGTGCGGGCTCTTCTCAGCCTGAAGCGTAAAGATTTTTCCTCTTCTGCCTGTTGCGATAGCAATCGTGGTAAATCGCTCTCCGTCTCGTCAAATTTACGAATAACTTTTTCTTGCTTTTGTTGAAGTGTTTTCAAGATTCTATTTTCTTTTGAAATCTCTTCAAATTTTTGCGTGATATCAAAAAGCTCATTTCGAAGTTTATTCAACTTATCTCTTTTTGCTTGAAGCATTTTAGCTACTAAAGTATTTCCGATATTTGCATCTGAAACAGATACCTTCTTAACTATGTTTCTCAATCCTGATCGTTTTCTTTTATCATGCCCCGTCTTTTGCCGACAGTTTTGTGAACTTCGCCTTTCATATTTTTGTGGGGATTTAGAGGAACACATCGGTACACTTCGTCTACTCTCGATATCGAATTCATCGGAATAGATTCGCGAATAAGACACATATTCATCTTCATACTGTCTTTCTTCCACGTCGTACTCCGGACTTGAATTGACCTCCTCCGGAGTATTGCGCGGATAGGGCACATTCATCTTTTCACTCGTGGGTATACACTGAGTTTTCACAGCATGATATTACTAAAATAATGATTTGAAAACTTTACAAACGCATTATTACGTCACACCAAGTTCACACAAATAGTTACTTTTATGTCGTCACAGTTAAAATAAATGAAATGGTTTTCTCGGAATCGCAGCTCCAATTTGGTCTATAAACTATAAACATTGATCCCATAGCGCACAAAATCTATTTATTGACTTTGAAAAATGGTTTGTTTTGCTATTGGCATATACACATTCTGAAATATTAAGATATTTCCAACTATCTATTCTACAGATTCGTCCTGATGACCTCATTTCTTGTTTTGACTCACAGATTTTATAGATGAAGTGTTGCAACTTCTATTTTTTCGTCATTACTTTACATACATTACAACCTTTATTAAGTAATGATGAACTTTTTTTACTAGTGTTCGACACCAAAATATTCTAGTGCTATAGTCCAATATATATTTGATTCATATTTCCGAGTATTGACACATTAAACTTCCACTAAAATCTAGATATTAACAATATTTTACACTTAGTGTTTACCTAAATTCATAGTGACAGACAGCTTTTTGAGAAATTGAATATAAAGAAACTAGTAGAAAATAGTTTTTTTTACTGATGTCTCTTTTGCCAAATTTCTCCAGGTCAAATTTGCTTATGATTGTCGGTTTATGAAACAAAAGAAAAACTTAAACACCAAGTCGCTGCGCTATTTTGTGCAGATCACTGGTACGTGACTGAAGTGATGAAAGATGTACAAGATTAGTCATTTTATATCGTCCACTGCTCCCTATTCCCAAGATGAGTAGAAATTTTTTTTTAATATTATCAATTGATATATACACAAAGTTTAGACATTGCCGACGAAAGCTCGTATTCTTTTTTACTTCTGTTTTGTTGAAACAATATCATAGTGTACAGACAACACATCTTAACTCTCTGCCTGCTACAAATGGTTCACAAGGTAATGAAGTACACTGAACTTCAACCATCTGCAGGAATCCCCCTTTCTGATCTCCTATCGTGCCGGGAACAATTTGAGGTCTTTCGTCCACACAAATGAATTCAGTCGAGTGCTTGTCACTGTGACCCCCAGACATTATATATCCCGCATATTCTCTGTGCCAACCTTTGGGACAATCGTCTCTCCCAGGAATCATCATCTGCAAAGTGTGAATTTTTAATTGTCTGTGTTCAATTACTCAAATTATAAAGAGGGAGAGTTTTTATCACAAAAATGTCATGACATTTTTTTCGAAAGGTTATACACTTTTATACAACTGTTTGAGTTGGGCGCACCAAATTTATATTTTACAATTTTTATCGTTATGCAAATATCCCTCGACTCACAATGATGTTGAATTTGAAGAATACCAGCGAATAAGAAAATCTTCTTACAAAATATAAATTGATTTACGAAAGTATTTGTAATTATCCGTTTTCTTCCAGGTATTATGATGTAATAATATTTGATGCTGATGTATGGCTTTGTATGCATGTAAGAATATTTTCTACCTTAGATACCCGAGCTTCAGCCATGCACATAGCACATGGTACAGAATGGAATTGCAATGAATTTGTTTCAGTCGACGTCAAATCAAATAATTGATACACCCAAGCACTGTCTCGGAATTCGACTCCATAGACGTGGGAACTTCCTACAAATTGAGAATATAAAAGAAATTGTACAAGTTATTAGAGTTTGGCAAACTTGCTCACTTTTTGCGTAAAGCAGTGGTGTGCAACCGACGACCCAGAGAGAAGTCCTTATTTTAAATGGTGTGGTGTCCACGAAACGAGTTTTTGATTTAGTTTATTCTGATATGTGTGAGTTATTCCAATCCCTTTGCATTGCAACGCCTATACCTAATTCCGATTTATTATCTATGCCTATGACGTTCCAATGCCTACCTGCTAGCTTGTGCGAAGTGAAAAACGCATGTCATAAGATCAATAACCAAAATTTTGTGCCTGCAACTACCAGAAAGACTATCTGCGCCCCGCGGTTTCACCCAGTTATTTGTATCTGGCCCTCTTGTATTATAGGTTGCACATCCCTGTAGTAAAAAGCTGACATGTTTGCCAGTTGAATAATATAAATATTGTCTCACTACATTCGCAGCCAGTGAAGTCAGGCAGTCGATCACGTTTGGACGAATTTTTAATATTACCTTGAGATCCCTCAACATATTTTCCCGGAGTGTAAGAAACGTTATGGTGGAGACACATGTAGTTTGCTCCACTTCCAGTGTGAGAGTAATAACCTGCTGCCATATATCCTGCATTGAATACAATAACCTCAATCAAAATTCCATAATAAATCCAATCCGTAATAAGAACTCGCAATGAACACATTACAACGCAAGCTTGTTTTATATAAAATGTATCACTTAATCGGACACTAAGTAAACCTATTATCTATTGCAGGGTTCTTCAACCTTCAAACTTTTTCATCACGACCCACTTTTCGCGACCCCCAGTAACTAAAATAAAAATACATTAAAATTTGATAATACAAAAATATTTAACAAAAAAGAATACCACTGACAATGAGAACCATTCCCTTGCCTATTTTCGCACATAACCTAGAACCTGGTCCACATTTCGATGATTGTAGGGTTAGTATTGGTTCCAAATCTTTCAAATTACATCGATATTTTGTTTTAACATAACTTAGTGTCGAAAAGGATTTTACCACGACCCCAATTGATCCCTTTCGCGATTTATCGGGGGTAGACTCCCAGCAGATCTCTGTTCTCTCTTATATAATCTCTCTCTGTTTTTATTCACAATCCCAGGTTGTGCTGATTTTAAAGAAATGTGCCTCTATTTTTAATATTCAGCTTGTCGATTTTAGCAGAATCGACAATGAGTCTCTATATTTTTTGTACTCTGTCTATATTATTTTTATTATAATATATTATTGTCGAATTTAATATGTGTAAATTTATATTGTTGCTCAATTGATTTTACGATGTCTGCATTGAATAATATCTCTGAATATGTTTGTATCCAATTACTATTATTTACCAGAATGGACAAATTTTGTGATCCCGTGATTTGGGCAATTTCTTCTTCCCCATCTCAAATAAGTTATTCCTCCAGCTGAACAAAATAAATCATATCTGAATGTGTTTCAAAAGTAGCCCAGTTTAACTTTTTAAATTTTTACACTTACAATTGTTGCTTTCTAAATATTTTTCTTCTTCATTCTACAATAAATCATTAATAATAAAATAGTTTTAAATAAGATATGCGATACACACGCACCAACATGCAAAGAACACTAAATATATCCCTGATAACGAACACGTACAAACACGAAGCGGTTCTAAAACGATGATTTATATCAACAACCTTTCTATAAATAAATGACCAACACATTTAATATCACCATCAATATGAGTCAATCAACTACCAAGCAGTTAAAATAAAGGAAACACTCCCTCGTACTTATTTCTAATTTGAAGCGATTTGTTCAATATATCATATTTTTAGTATGTAGTTTAAATTGTTTTATGCCAATTGCAAACTAACATATTTCTTCTACACCTGTGAATAACGCAATTTTTGCTAAATATACCATTGAAAAATTGTTAAATTTGTTGTCATTTGGTAACTTACTGAAGAATGTCTGTTTGATCTCTTCGTAATTACATGCGATGCCATATGTGATTTAATGGAATCAGCAATTTCACGCTTCATTCTGCTATGTTCAGCTTCATCTCTGTCTTTAATTGCTGCTCTCAGTACTTGAATATCTTTTTCATACCTGTTGTACATATAATCATTGCTTAATTAGTATATCATCATATTGACAGTAACTACTAAAACAAATATAGTACAACAACTTAAACATTAATTGAATATATGATATCTACAATCCACATTTTATTTAGAAGTAGAAGTTTTAAGATTAAAATGCCTCTCTACGGATAGAAGTAGATCTTATCGCCTGAATATTGCAATGGGCGCCGTTATATTATTCACCTGGACAATGACAAATACTTAAATCGTACGTAACATATATTGTCATGGACACATTTAGTGGGACAGATAAATGTCCCAGACATTTTTTGGGAATAGCTCATTACTCAAGAACTCATTTTTCAGTCGCAGCAAATTTTATGAATGTGCTTAAATAGTAAGCAAGTTTTTTGCTAATGTATGCGAATTTCATTACCTTATCATTCTTTCATTATTATGTGATATGAACTGCGTCGTACTTCCCAGTAAAATTGCAAGCACAATCAAAGATGTCGCAACTTTAACAAATCGTATGAATATCGATGTCCTGCAACCTGCCAGATAGCGGGTTCCGAGTAATTCAATGTCATTTTCGGAATCTCTTGCAAACATGATATCTATATTATTGGTTCTAATCTATTGTGCTAACAAATGCCGCCTAAAACGTAAAAATGATAATGATGCGGAGATGAAAAAATCAAGCTTTACTTAAAAGTACTTCTTACTTAAATAATTGATCCATGTCAAACCACGAGTCACTGAAGCTGCAAAACAAAGTTTTTCGCTGAGGTTCAGCTTACCTAAGTAAAAATTCCTCGACATGGTATTGAACATGGCGTGGTAAACAAACGGGTTCAAAAATGGGGGCTACTAACAGAAAGAAACAAAATATCAATTTGTTGAGCAAGTTGCATTCAAATCGCGAGGCCAATGACGTTTTTTTTACTCAAATTGCAGCTCCTCTGTTAAAGTTATCTTACATACAATAAACTTTTTAAAAAAGTGCTAATCTGGTAAGCTTTTGCGCGAATAAAATATTATTGAATTACCGTGTAATTTTTCCAATATTTTTCAAAATTAAAATCCTTTTGACAATGCATCACTTACAGATGAATGTTATTTGTAAACAGAAGTAAACAATGTTTTTAGGCATACGTTTAAATCATCATTCTTCAGTTGTTATTCATTAACGTTTTTCCAAATAAAGCACGATACATCATTACAAGAAAGTATGTTAAAACAAGGTTTCGTGGTTATCACAAGGCCATGTGCATTCATTCATGACTCAAATAGTCTACAGATTTTAAATAAAAACTAGAAAATTTTAACGGTGTTATGAGATGCCATATTTTAAGAAGCGCACCATTTAAGAATTTACCATTTCGGAAACGCTGGTATTCAATGTATGCATCTGTCCGATCCATGTCAAGACTCCCAATCAATTGTAATTCTATAACAATCGAATAATTTTTAAAAAGCAGCGAATAATAATACTAACTCAGAAATATGCAATGTTATTCAATACCAGCGATTTTTTTATACTTATTTTTTTGCACAAAACCATTCGCGTGATTTATGCTAATAATCTATTACACGTGATCTTTACGTATTCATGGTATACACATTGCTCCATCAAAGTGAGTGGTAATTTGAGTGAATCCAATCTAATTAAGCTTAAAGTTCACCAAACTAGCACATTGTAAATGAATATTTTATCGATGAAATTATTATTTGCTCTGCTCATATTATTGACGAGATCTGAAGTTATGTACAATAGTTACTTCTTCAGATGCTTTGTAAATCTAATAATACATGTTACATATAGTGCATAGGCGTAGCCATCGGGTCTGGGAAGCCATATGAGTTACTTTATAATTTAATGCTGCGGCATTTGCATTGAAACACAAGCTCGTAAGTTTCATCACTAATTCATCAATTTAACAAATTTTCTAAAGCATACAACAGTCAATGTCAGAGTGGTAATTCAATGTCATTTTCGTACTCTCTTGAAACATGATATTTAACTTATTAGTTTTAATCTATTGTGCTAATAAATGCCGTAATAAACTCAAAAAATGATAATATTGCGAAAATGAAACAAATTACAACTTTTCTTAATTGTGCTTCTCACTTGATCAATTCATCCGTATCAACGCTATGAGTCACTGAAGCTGCAAAACAAGTTTTTCGCTGACGTTCAGCTTACCTAAGTCAAAAATCCTCGACATGGTATTGAACATGGCGTGGTAAACAAACGGGTTCAAAAATGGGGGCTAGTTACAAAAAGACACAAAAGAGTAATTTTTTGAGCAAGTTGCATCTAAATCGCAAGGCCAATAACGTTTTTATTACTCAAATTGCAGCTCCTCTGTTAAAGGTATCTTACACACAATGAACTTTTTAAAAAAATGCTAATCCGGTAAGTTTTTGCGCGAATAAAATATTATTGAATTACCGTGTAATTCTGCAAATATTTTTTCGAAATTGAAATCATTCAGACAATGTGTCGCTTACAGAGGAATGTTATTTGTAAACAGAAGTAAACAACGTTACTTTGCAGACGTTCAAATTATCATTCTTCGGTTTTTATTTAATAACGTTCTGCAAAATATAAAATACTTACTAAATATAAGTTTATACAGCACGATATAATATTACAAGAAAGTATGTTAAAACAAGGATTGGTGTTTATTTCAAGTCTATGTGCGCTTCATGCATGGCTCACATGGTCTATAGATTTTAAATAAAAACTACAAAATTTCCTCGATGTTATGAGATCTCATATTTTTAGAAGCGCCCAAATGAATGAAAGAAACAGATGGTATTTATTAGTTCGGCAACGCTGATTCAACGGTGATAATTCCGAAATATTCAATGTTATTCGATACCACCGATTGGTTTATACTTATACTTTTACATTCGCACGAATTATGTTTATAATTCATAAACGTAATCTTTATGTATTCTTGTTATGGACGTTGCTCTATCAAGGTGACTGTTAATTTGAGTGTATCCAATCTAATTAAGCTTAAAGTGCACCAAACTAGCCCATTGTAAATGGATATCTTATCGATCGGTGAAATCATTATTTGCTCTGCTTGTGTGATAGACGAAATCCTAAGTTATATACAATTGTTACTTCTTATGATGCGTTGTAAATCTAGGAAGACATGTTACATATAGTACATAGGCAGCCATATGTGTTCTTTCGTATTAGATACTGCGGCATTTGCAATGGAACACAAGCTCGTACGCATACAATGACAGAGTTGAAGGCAACGCCGGTTCCAATAATAAAATCGTCTCTATTATGTCATTATTTAGGTCTCTTTGGCAGGATTTGTTTGATCATATGTTAGTTACGTGTTTTATAAAACACATCGATCACAAATTAATACCCAACTTCGAAATTTATGACTTTCTTAACACAATTTAAGTATATATTTTATAATTCGCGTTTTCCAGATTTATGATTTTGATATTTATGATTATGAGTAGATGTTGTCAATTATGACCAAATTTTAAGGTCTTTTCGCATCATCCTGTTACATACTGAACAAGTAACACTGTTAATGTATTTTACTTTCAAGTGTTTTAAAAATAAATATGATGATGAACAATTTCAGCTCCCTTCCTGTATTCCTGCATATTGTTACGCCTATGAAACTTAGCTTTTCAAAGAGAAGATCAACGTTGGGGTGTCAATTTGTAGTGTTGGTGGTGTCACATGTGTAATCAGTTAAATGATAAATTAAATCCACAACAAGCTAATCGTGCTGTTCATTTATCGTGGAGTGATAACTGAATAGTCAGACTACGCAATTGATGAAGTATTATAATGTTATTGATAACCTACATGACATATACAAGAGTGTTACAATGCTGAATTCGTTCATACCACGATACATGTAAGCTTTTGGGGTGAAAACTGCACGAGAAACTAAAGATATATTCATTCATATAACAGTTTATTCCATTATTCATTTGCAACATTTGATAAATGGTTTGAAAAGCAATAATGTACATTGAGTCTCACCCATGAACAAGAATCCATGCACAAAAAAGTGAAAACACTCTGTGATAACTTTATCAGTTCATGAAACCGTCACAAAGAACAAGGAATTTTTTTTTATATAAGGAAAAGTATGCAAACAAAATTACATTAAAATAAACTTAGCGCCAACCCCCCTTCCTCATACAACTGCCCTGGGGGGCCTTGGGATCCAGGGTAGGAACCACCGGTCTATATATTAACCACTACTTCACACTAACTGTTTGCCTAAAATTAAATTATAAAGTGACAGCTTTTTGAGAAATTGAATAAAAAAAGCTGAAAAAAAAAAGATTTTTTATGATAATACTCTGGCCAATTTTTTCACGCCAGATTTGCCTATGATTGTTAGTTTGTGAAACGATGAAAAAACTTGAACACCAAGTTGTTACGCTATCATGTGCAAATTTCTGGAATATGACTGCAGTGATAATAGATATAGAGATATATATACAAGATTAGTCATTTTATATCGTCATCTGCTCCCTTCTATTCACGAGATAAGTACAACAAAAGTACATAAAGCTTGGACATTGCCGATGAAATCTTGTATTCCTTTTTATATTTATTTTGTTAAAACAATATCATAGTGTACAGACAACACATCTCAACTCTCTGCCTACTACAAAGGGTTCACAAAGTAGTGAAGGACACTGAACTTCAACCATCTGCAGAGATCCTCCCCCCTGATTTCCTATCGTGCCTGGAACGATTTGAGGTCTTTCGTCCACACAAATGAATTTAGTCGAGTGCTTGTCATTGTGACCGCTAGACATTATATATCCCGCATATTCTCTGTGCCAACCTTTGGGACAATCGTCTCTCCCAGGAATCATCATCTGCAAAATGTAATTTTTTAATTGTCCGTGTTCCATTATCATGGAATTTATTCGAAAGTTTACACTTTTATACAACTCTTTAAATCAAGCGCTCTAAATTTACATGTTTTACCATTTTTATCGGTATCCAAATAAATATCACTTGTCTGACAATGATGTTGAGTTTGAAGAATACATGTGAAAAAATCTCACAAAATATAAGTTGATTTACGAAGGAATTTGAAATGTATTTTATTGCACTCATGGAGATTATTTTCTTATATATCATATTGTTTTTGAATTTCAGTTCGGATACTCCGTTTTCCCTTCCAGTTATTATTATGTAGTAATATTTGATGCTGATGTATGGATTTGTATGTATGTAGAAATCTTTTCTACCTTGGATACTCTAGCTTCAGCCATGCACATAGCACATGGTACAGAATGGAATTGTAATGAATTTGTTTCAGTCGACGTCAAATCAAATAATTGATACACCCAAGCACTGTCTCGAAGTTCGACTCCATAGACGTAGGAACTTCCTATAAATTCAGAATATAAAAGAAATTGTACAAATTACTAGAGTTTGGCAAATGTGTTTTCTTTTTGCATAAAACAAAGGTGTGCAACTTGCGGCCCGCAGAGAAGTCCCCATTTTAAATGGTGTGGTGTCCACGAAACGAGTTTTTGATTTAGTTTATTCTGGTATGTGCGAGTAATTCCAATCCCTTTGCGTTGCAAACGCCTATACCTAATTCCAATTTATTATCTATGCCTATGACGTCACAATGCCCTACCTGCTAGCTTGTGCAAAGCGAAAAACGCATGTCATAAGATAAATAACTAAAATATCGTGCCTGCAACTACTAGAAAGTATATGTGCGTCCCGCGAATTCACCCAGTTATTTGTATCTGGCCCTCTTGTATTATGGGTTGCACATCCCTGGAGTAAAAGGATGACATTTTTTCCAGGTAAATATTATAAATATTTTCACACTATATATGCAGCCAGTGAAGTCAGGCAGTCGATTACGTTTGAACAACTTTTTATTATTACCTTGAGATCCCTCAACGTATTTTCCCGGAGTGTAAGAAACATTATGGTGAAGACACATGTAGTTTGCTCCACTGCCAGTATGACTGTAATGACTTGCTGCCATATATCCTGCATTAAATACAATAATCTCAATTAAATTCTATAATGAATTCCATAATAAATCTAATTCACAATAAAAACTCGCAATGAACACAGAATAACGCAAGCTTAAGTTACTTGTTTTATCTAAAATGTTTCACTTATTCGGACACTAGGTGGATCTATGATCTATTGCAGCGTTCTTCAAACATTTGTCACCACGTAAATAAAATGAAAATACATTGAAAATTAATAACAAAAAATAATGCTGCTTCATTGATTTTACACTGTCTACAATGTATAATCTCTTTAAATGCGTTCTCCGATTACGGTTCTTTACCAGAATAGACAAATCTTGTGATCCCGTGATTTGCGCAATCTCTTCTTCCCCATCTCAAATAAGTTATTCCTCCAGCTGAACAAAATAAATCATATCTGAATGTGTTTCAAAAGTAGCCCAGTTCAACTTTCTATATATTTACACTTACCAATTTTGCGTTCTAGGTATTCTTCTTCTCCATTCTACAATAAATAATAAAATAGTTTTAATAAGATATGCGATACACACGTACATACACGAAGCAGTTCTAAACTGATGATTTATATCAGGGGTGACCAACCTGCTCTCGACCGCGATCGACTAAAATCTTTGTTGAAGCAGCTCGCGATCGACTGACTGATCGGTAATAAGGTTCTACACAAAAACGAATGAGTACTGAATATGCAGATAACTACACACATGCAAACAAAAATTCCACCGCTGCCCAAGCTCGGCTCTGTGGGCGCATTTTTAATTAAATCGCCACGAAAACTTCAACATTCTTTGAGATTTATTCAAATACAGTAATACAATTCAGATTTAACGCATGCCTAACTTTTAGTCTTAAGTGATGAATATTCCTTAAAAAAACCTTGCCAAGTATCCCTATTATCGAAACAGCGTAAAAAAATTCTCAAACCTTAAATGTTACATGACTGATCAAACTTAGGTAACTAATTTCTCAGTATCGTTTCTTAGTCAATACACACTATATTCGGCACGTTCATTCCTAAACTTTGGCAGCGGCGAAATTTTCATTTGTTACGTAATAATATGATCCATCGGAATTAAACTGCGTGTGTATATAGTATTTTGCGCATGTAGGCTACGGTCCTGTATTCTTCCTGTTTTAAAACACACAACAGCCGCTGCCTGAAACTGGTTCAAGGTAATTTTTGAGGTATGTTATTAAATCGACGCGATCGACTACTAGGGTTACCAACCGTCCCGGAATGGCCGGGACAGTCCCGGAATTGACCTCTTGCGTCCCGTTTCCCAGGCCGAGCTACGTTGTCCCGGAATTTACTGACAACCAGAGCTTTCTAAAATAGAAGTCAATATAAGCGTGTGGGCATCATTCGAAACTGGAAACGGAAAAGCTTTAAACAAAAACAATCCAGTGAGATTTGAAGATTTTTGATAAATTTTATTATTAAAGTAGCGACTTGTAACAACGTTTTGTATTTCTCGTTTTTTTATTATGATGTACTGCTAGTGTGTATTATTCAGTCAGTTTTCAGGCTCGCATAGCCTTCTATCTTAGGACGCCTTGCTGACAGCTCTTTGTCTAAGCGAGTGTTCATCGAATATTATATTTCCGTCAGGATTACCAACGTTAACTTGAACTTTTGGCAGGAAATTAAAATAAAAATTCATTTGTAAGAAATTAATAACAAAAAGAATAACGAAGATCGTCTTGCAGTGGCAAAATCACGAGACAAATATAAATTTAAGTACCAGAAAGATTGATTCTATGTCAAACAATTAAATATATTTTGCACATATTGTACATTTTCCGTTTTAGTTTTTTTTTTTTGCTTTCATGCCTCAAGGAGTCAACATTTCACAGTTTATTTGATTATGATAAAATTATTTACAGGCTTGAAGTTTGTAAAAATAACGCTGTGCGATCATCTCCTTGACGTGCATAGCTTCTTTTGATGTATTTCGTGTTTCACAAGCTTCTGTTGCACCAATTTTCTAATTCGACACATTAAAGTGTCCCGGAATGGTTTAACACAAAGATGGCAACCCCATCGACTACACCAGTGATTACCAAACTGTGGTCCGCGTACCACTAGTGGTACGTGAAGATCTTCCAGGTGGTACGCGAGTGCATTCTGTTCTTTATTCGATCAAAGGAAGTTCTTGGTTGGGATGGGGTTGATTTTGAGTTTTTTGAAACTGTGTCGTCGTGGTAAGGTACGTCCGTTGGGAGAGAGGTATTTTCTCTCACATATGTGGCGCCATAGAATGCATAGGTTAGATGCGAGCACATTTCCTAGCCCTTTGCTAGGGTGCTCCATCGAGGAGGTTTATCGTGCTATAATCCTATAACCAATTTATCAAAATGGTAAATTTCGTTAAAACGTCAGCTCAAAATATTCAGCTCTTTAAGCTTATTTGTGAACAGCAAAGACGAAACACAAAGATTGTCCTCTTGGCTTAGCAAGATCTCCTTGTTCTCACGCTACGTGCGTTCAAGGATTTTCATCCCTGGTGATGTTCAAGTCGAAAAAAAAATCGACTTGCATAACTGTCTTTATGTGCTCGGAGCAAATGCATACCACGCATCGTCCAACTAGTGAGTGCATCGGTTCTCAACCTGTGTGCCATGGTCCACTTCTGGACCACATAGACATTTTCAGGTGGGCCAGAAACTTATTAAAATTGCTAGGGTTATTGAAAAATTTGGTGTCATTTGTGCCACTATATTTATTGTTGGAGCAATGAATTAGGATCATGCTTTTCATTCTAATTATCAATGTGGAAGTATATATATATATGAAAAAAGGTTTTTTATTTTCTTGTAGATTTTACCTCGCATGAAAAAGTGAATGGACCACCGAAATTTGGAAAAAACGAAATCGGGCCACGAAAGAAAAAAATTGAGAACTCCTGAGCTAGTGAATAATGAACAAACGCAGTCAACGCAGAAAAAAATTAACGTTTGAAGTTGTGATTGGTGAAAACAATCACATCAACCTTGACTGATGCCGCCTAGTTTAAAAGAACTTTTTATTATAACTTCGCATAGATCAAACGCGTGATTATGACATCATAAGGGGTTGGATAATTTGACCGTCTTCGGCGCGCAAAATATATATAGGTGGTACGCGAGCGCTGATAAAACCTTGAAATGGTACGTGGATGCAAAAAGTTTGGGAAATGCTGGACTACACGAAACGTGGCGATCGACCGGTCGATCATGATCGACGTGTTGGTCACCCCAGATTTATATCAACAACTTTTCTATAAGTGAATACCCAACACATTAAAAGCACCACCACTATGAGTCAAGCAACTACTAAGCAGGTAAAATAAATAAAACACTCGCTCGTACTTCTTTCTAATTTGAAGCGATTTGATCGATAACTCATATTTTTAGTATGTAGTTCAAATTGTTTTATGCCAATTGCCAACTAACATATTTTTTCTATACCTGTAAATAACGTTTTAGAAATCAATTTTTGCTAAATATATCATTGAAAAATTGTTACATTTGTTGTCATTTGCTAACTTACTGAGGAATTTCTGTTTGATCTCTTCGTAATTACGTGCGATGCCATATGTGATTTAAGAGAATCAGCAATTTCACGCTTTATTCTGCTATGTTGAGCTACATCTCTGTCTTTAATTGATGCTCTCAGTAATTGAATATCTTTTTCATACCTGTTATACATATAGTCATTGCTTAGTTAGTTGCCTGAATTGCAATGCCTAATTGCCTGAATATTGCAATAGGAACCGTTATATTTTTCAATCGGCCAATGACAATAGCATAAATCATACATAGTTTATATTGCCATGAACACATTTAGTGGGACAGACACTTTTTGCGGATAGCTTTTGCCTCAAGCACTCATTTTTTCAAATGCAGCAAATTTTATGAATGTGCTTAATGGTAAACACGTTTTGTGCCAATGTATGCGAATTTCCTTACCTCAACATTCTTTCATTATTATGTGATATGAACTGCATTACACTTCCCAGTAAGAATGCAAGGACAATCAAAGCTGTAGCAACTTTAACAAATCGTATGACTATCGATGTCCTGCAACCTGTCAGATAGCGAGCTTTCAGTAACTCAATTTCATTTTCGGACTTCATTGAAAACATGGTATTTATATTATTGGTTTCAATCTATTGTGCTAACTAATGCCGCCTAAAACGTAAAAATAATAATGATGTGAAAATGGAAAAATCCAACTTTTATTAATTGTGCTTCTCACTTGATTAATTCATCCGTATCAACGCTATGAGTCACTGAAGCTGCAAAACAAGTTTTTCGCTGAGGTTCAGCTTACCTAAGTAAAATTCCTCGACATGGTATTGAACATGGCGTGGTAAACAAACGGGTTCAAGTATGGGGGCTAGTTACAAAAAGACACAAAAGAGTAATTTTTTGAGCAAGTTGCATCTAAATCGCGAGGCCAATGACCTTTTTTTTCTCAAATTGCATTGTCTCTGTTAAAGTTATCTTACATACAATAAACTTTTTAAAAAAAGTGCTAATCCGGTAAGTTTTTGCGCGAATAAAATATTATTGAATTACCGTGTAATTCTGCGAATATTTTTCGAAGTTAAAATCATTCTGACAATGTGTCACTTACAGACGAATGTTATTTGTTAACAGAAGTAAACAACGTTTCTATGGAGACGTTCAGATCATCATTCTTCAGATGTTATTTATTAACGTTCTGCAAAATATATAATATTTTCCAAATAAAGCACGATATACCATTACAAAAAAAGTGTGTTAAAACAAGGTTTGGTGGTTAGCACAAGTCGTCTATGTGCGTCCATGCATGCCTCACATGGTCTATAGATTTTAAATAAAAACTAGAAAATTTTCACGGTGTTATGAGATGCCATATTTTAAGAAGCGCCATAAATGAATAAAAAGAAAAAATAGATGGTACTTATCATTTCGGAAACGCTGATATTCAATGTATGCATCAGCCCGATGATGTCATGTCATGGTAAGACTCCCAATCAATTGTAATTCTTTAACAATAGAATATTTTTCAAAAAGCAGCGAATAATAATACTAATTCGGAAATGTGCAATGTTATACAATACCAGTTTTTTTTATACTTATTTTTTTGCTCAAAATCATACGCGTGATTTATGTTAATATAATCCATTACACGTGATCTTTACGTATTCATGTTAAATTAACTTGACCAACAAGATAATCGTGTTTATTTATCGAGGAGTGATAACCGCAGAGTCAGACTTACGCCCGTGATGTAGAATCTTCATTTTTAATATAAGCCTACATGACATGTACAAAAGCGTTACGATGCTAAATTTCTTCATACCACGATACCTGTAAGCGTTTGGGGTATAAACTGCAATAGAGATAACGGTTATGTTCATTCATAATATTTTATTCAATTATTCCTCTGCAACATATAATAAATGTGTGAATTGTTTATTTTCCATGTGTAAAATACAACATAAATTGAGCAAACTACACATCCCAGTTCTCTTTCCGCGACAAACGGTTCGCAAAGTATTGATTCACATTGAGTCTCAACCATGAACGAGAATTCATACACAAAAAAGTGAAAACTCTTTGCGAAATAACTTGATCGGTTAATCGCAGTGGTTCTCAACCTTTTACCGACCGCGTACCACTTCACTGTTTTTTTTACTCTGGCCGCGTACCACTGAAAAAGCCCCTTTTTGGCGCGCCTTATGGCACAAAACATGCGCTACGGGAGTATTTTATAATGTGGCACTACATCTTTAGTGACCTAATTCGCAAGACGGACGAAAACATGCCCATCCCATTCGTTCGTGGACAATGGACCGTTCCCCGACATTTGACCCCCAAAAAATTCTTCCTATACTTTACCATTGAAAATTTTTTGGGGCTATTTTAAGAGTGTTTTTGCGAGTTGGCGCCTTTAAAATGGGGTATGTGTTTCAAACCATCATTATGATTCATCGCATACAACAATCTGTTTTTGAAAGTATCGGTAAAGAATTTTGGCCTAGTCTATCACAGCTATTTCTACACTAATTTTTTTATTAATGCAATTAAATTAAAACCCCTAGGAAGACAGAGTGATCATTGAATTATTTGATTTATATTTACGTTTCTGAGACACAACTGAAAACTAACGAATAGAATTCAAAAACGCGAAACGAGGTAATGTTTACGACAACGCTTGAAAATCTGTCTGAGTGAGAAAGTGCCTGAGCGGAAGCAGAAAGGGAGCATTGTTACGTCACGTTCTGCATCTTGCTGATTAGCCAATGTCACGAGGTAAACAAGGAAGTCGATGCTCTGGGCAGGCGAGGGCAATTTCTAAATGCTGGACTGGCCTCTAAGACGTTTTTCCGACCCTTGACCCCAGAAAAATTCCTCCAATACTTTACTATTGCAAAAAAATTATACTTTTTTTCGAAAGTGTTTACCTTCTTTTTTATTAAAATTATTTGGCTTACATGCACTGATAGCTTAGTTTAGATTAGTCTATCGCAGCATTTGCGAGACTCATTTTTGATTACAGCAATTAAATTAATGCTCCTTTGAAGATATAATGACAATTAAGATATTTCATTCACAAATACTTTTTTGAAACGCAACTGAAAACTGGAAAATGACACGCAAAACTACAAAAACGAGGCAATGGTTACTGATTGTTGCTGGTTACGGAAATAAACAAGGAAAGTGATGCACGGGAAAACATTCATGAGGGCCGTTCAGCGAATACATACAGTATGGAAGATAAAGCGTTGTCGGCGTATTTTGGCCAACTCAAAAGTTAATTGTTGCAATAATTCAAAGCCGCTCGCGTACCACTTGATCATCTTCCGCGTACCACAGGTTGGGAACCACTGAGTTAATGAAACCGTAATAATGAACAAGGAATTTTGTTTTATATAGGGAAAAATATGCAAACGGAATAGCATAAAAATAAATTTAGCGCCTAATATCGAGCTCCCCGCGGAAACTGATCTGTGGCCCATGCCCATGCTTATGCTATTTCGTCTGGGGGCCATGGGCCCAGGTTGGGAACTACTTGTCTAGGTATTAAACAAGATTTCAGACAAATTGTTCACCTAAAATACATAGTGACAGCTTTTTACAAATTGAATAAAAAGAATCAGGGGGATAAATTTTTTTATGTTAATACCTTTTTGCCAAATTTTTCCATGACAAAATGTCAGTCCGTGAAACGACAGAAATACTCGAAAACCAACTCGCTACGCTTGTGCAAATATCAGGGACATGACTGCAATGATAAAAGATGATATACAAAGGTAGTCATTTCATATCGTCGTCTCCTTCCGTTTTCCAAAATAAGTACAACAAAGTTTTCATTATTATTAATTAATTTACATATATGTTTTGATATTAGGTTTCGACATTGTCGATGAAAGCTTGTATTTTATTTAACTTTTCTTATTAAAACAATATCAAAGTGTACAGACTACACATCTCAACTCTCTGCCTGCTACAAAGGGTTCACAAAGTAGTGAAGGACACTGAACTTCAACCATCTGCAGGGATCCTCCTTTCTGATCTCCTATCGTGCCCGGAACAATTTGAGGTCTTTCGTCTACACAAATGAACTCAGTCGAGTGCTTGTCACTGTGACCGCTAGACATTATATATCCCACATATTCTCTGTGCCAACCTTTGGGACAATCGTCTCTCCCAGGAATCATCATCTGCAAATTATAGTTTTCCAAATGTCAGTGTTCAACTACACAGATTATATGTATATATGTTGAGTTTACGGAAAGCCAGTAAAATAATAAAATATTCTCATAAAATATAAATTGTTCTACGATAGTATTTGTAAAATATTTAATTGCTCTCATTTCTTCAATATTGCAGGTATTTCAGTTTGGATACGACGTTTTCTTCTCTATTCATTATGATTTAATAATATTTAATACTAATGCATGGCTTTGTATGCATATAAGAATAATTTAACCTTTGATACTCGAGCTTCTGCCATGCACATAGCACATGGTACAGAATGAAATTGCAATGAATTTGTTTCAGTCAACGTCAAATCAAATAATTGATACATCCAAGCACCGTCTCGGAATTCGACTCCATAAACCGCAGAACTTCCTACAAATTGAAAATATAAAAAATGTACGTGTTACTGAAGTTTAGCACTTTTTTGTACTATCTTATAAATTTTTCGTTTGCGTAAAACACGGGTGTGCAACCAGCGGCCCGCAGAGAAGTGCCAATCTCTTTGCGTTGGAAAGCCTATACCAGATTACAATTTATCATTTATGCCTATGACGTTACAATGCCCCAACATCTAGCTTGTGCGAAGAGTACAACGCGTGTCATAAGATCAATAACCAAAATTACAATAACCTGCAACTATCAGAAATCATATGTTCGTTAATTTAATAATATAAATATTGTCACACTATCTTTGCATCCAATGAAGTTCGACATTCAATTACGTTTGAATAAATCTTTAATATTACCTTGAGTTCCCTCAACATATTTTCCTGGAGTGTAAGAAACGTTATGGTGAAGACACATGTAATTTGCTCCACTTCCAGTATGAGTGTAATGACTTGCTGCCATATATCCTGCATTGAATACAACAATCCCATAATATATTTCAAATGCCACATTTACTAAGAACGACGTGCCGTGTGTCGAATCATTAATTAATACATGAATATAACTAGTTCAAGTTAACACAAAATAATGAAATAATTAAAACTAAAATAAAAATAAAGTAAAATTCAATAAAACAGAAAATATTAAAAAAAAATAATACTATTACCCAATTGATTTTACACTGTCTATAATGTATAATATGTTTCTGCCCTAATTACTATTCGTTACCAGAATAGACAAATCTTGTGATCCCTTGATTTGGGCAATCTCTTCTTCCCCATCTCAAATAAGTTATTCCTCCAGCTGAACAAAATAAATCGTATTAGAATATGTTTCAAAAGTAGTTCAACTTACTTTCCACATTTTTAGACTTACCATTTTTGCGTTCTAAGTATTCTTTTCCTCCATTCTACAATAAATATTAGATTGGTTTTAATAAGATTTGCGTACACACGCGCCAACATGCAAAGAAGATGGTTAATGTAGCCCTGATAAACGTATTTTTACAAACATGAAGCAGTTGTGAATTGACGAGTCAACTTTTCTACAAACAAATTATCAAGACATTGAAAGCAACATCAGTCTGAGTCAATCCGCTACCAAGCAGGTAAACAAATTATATTTTTGACATATTTCTTCCATACCTGCTAATGACGTTTTAAAAAACAAACTATAGATACCATTGCAAAATTGTTAATTTTGTTGTCATTTGCTAACTTACTGAGGAATTTCTGTTTGATCTCTTCGTAATTACGTGCGATGCCATATGTGATTTAATGGAATCAGCAATTTCACGCTTTATTCTATGTTCAGCTACATCTCTGTCTTTAATTGCTGCTCTCAGTACTTGAATATCTTTTTCATACCTGTTGTACATATGGTCATTTTTTAGTTGGTATATCATCATATTGATAGTAACTACTAAAACAAATATAGAACCATAACTTGAACTCTAACTAAATATCTGATCTACAATCCACATTTTATTAGAAATTTAGAACTAGAAGAATTAAAATGAAGTTGCCTTTCTCAAAAAAATGCGGATAAATTAGATGCTAATTGCCCTTAATATTGCAATAGACATCGTCATACTTTGAACCTGTACAATGATAACAACATAAATCGTACATAACTTATGTTGTCATGAACACATTTAGTGGGACAGATAAATGCCCCAGACACATTTTGCGGATAGCTCTTGCCTCAAGCACTTATTATACAATCGCAGTATATTTTATGAATGTGCTTAAAACAAGCTCTGTGCCAATGTATGCGAATTTCCCCACCTGAGCATTATTTCGTTATTATGTGATATGAACTGCATCGTACTTCCCAGTAAGAATGCAAGGACAATCAAAGGTGTAACAACTCTGACAAATCGTATGACCATCGATGTCCTGCAACCTGCCAGATAGCGTGCTCTCAGTAATTCCATGTCATTTTCGGACTCCCTTGAAAACATGATATCTATAATATTGGTTTTAATTTATTGTGCTAACTAATGCCGCCTGTAAAAATGATAACGATGTGAAAATGAAAAAAATGCTAGCCTTTTTATAAGTGCATCTCACTTGGATATTTATTTGATCCATGTTAACGCTGTGAGTCACTGAAACAGCAAAACGAGTTTGTCGCTGAGGTTCATCTTACCTAAGTAAAAATCCTCTACAATTGAACATGGCGGGATAAACATACGGATCACACTCCGCATACTTGTGCTATCAAGACTTTGTTATCAATATAATATCTGTAAAAATAATCTATCACCATTTGGTATTTTCAAAAATTACTTGCATTCTAGAAACTGTAACGCGGCAGTGAACGTGACCTAATAAGCCAGGATTGAGATTAGCTAGAATGAGCCATAAGATACAATAACAATGTCTGACTTTCCCTGCGGCAGAAATTTTTTGAATGCGCGGATAAAATATTATTGAATTATCGTGTAATTTTGCAAACATTTTTCAAAATCAAAATCATTCTGATGATGTGTCAATACAGATGGATATTACTTGTAAACAAAAGTAAACAATTTTTTTATGCAGACGTTCAAACCATCATTCTTCAGTTTTAATTTACTAACATTCTGCAAAATATATAATATTTTCCAAATGTTTATACAACACGACATTCCATTACAAATAAGTAAAACAAGGTTTAGTGATTATTACGAGTCTATGTGCGTTCATGCATGCCTCACATTGTCTATAGATTTTAAATGAACATTACCAAATTTCCTCGGTGTTATGAGATGCCATATTTTAAGAAGCGCCATAAATAAATTAAAAAAAAACAGATGGTATTTACCATTTCGGCAACGCTGTTCAGCATCTGTCCAATCCATGTGATGGCAAGACTCAATTATTTACACGGAACCAATTATTGACAATTCTATAATAATCGAATGAATTTCAAAATAAAGAGAATAATAATACTAATTCAATATCTTATCGATGAAATTATTATTTGCTCTGCTCTAATGATTGACGAAATCTAAAGTTATGTACAACTGTTACTTCTCCAGATACACTGTAAGTTTGTTGAGACATGTTACATATAGTAGTACATCGACGTAGTCAGTGAGGTCTGGGGAGCCATATGTTTTATTAAATCGATACTTTGGCATTTGCAATGAAACACAAGCTTGTATGTTTCATCACTAATTCTTCGAATTAACAAATTTTTATAGCATACAACAGACAATGTCAAAGTTGGGAGACACTTCATGAACACAGGATATAACACCCGTTTCAGTTATGAAATCGTCAAGTCACCATTATGTTATTATTTAATTATCTTTGACAAGGTTTGTTTACACATTGGCGTTTTGATCTTTTGGTAATTCGGTGTTTCGAGCACAAATTAATACCCATAACTTAGAGAAATTTGTGGCCTTTCTATCACGATATGAGCGTTTTATAATTCGACTAAGACAATTCCCTTGATGTAATATCATCCTTCCTTTTATCACCCACATGATATGTACAAAAGTGTCACAATGCTAAATTCGTTCATACCACGATACCCTTAAGCTCTTGGGGTATAAAGTGAAAAAAGAGAACAATTATATTTTTTCATATTATTTTAATTTTATTAGTCATTTGCAACATATAATAAATGTGTGAATATTTTATTTTTCAGGAGTTCAACACGACTCAAATTGAGCAAACTACACATCTCAATTCTCTTCCCGCGACAAATGGTTCGCAAAGTAATGATGCGCATTGAGTCTCAACCATGAACAGAAAGACACCCTTCTGATCTCCGCTTGTTCCAGGAACCACTTGAGGTCGTTCGTCGACGCAAATAAATTCGGTTGGATGTTTATCACCATGACTACCAGCCATGACGTATCCTCTATATTCAGTGGTCCAACCTTCCGGGCAAGTTTCCCGACCGGGAATCATGACCTGTAAGATTAGGATTAAAAACAATAAAAGCAATAACAATATTGAGGTGTTTATCGCATAATGACAATACTAAAAATTCGTTCGGGTCGTTCAAAGTGTTGGTAATTGGTATGTTGCAATAATTTTAAAAATATTGCAACGATTGATCGTTTCATCACATTTTCCTAATTAGAAAGTTTATTAGCTATAAAACACTAATTGTTTTAAACCTGGTCAATTTTTCTTTCGGCCATGCATACGGCACAGGGAAGTGAATGAAATTGTAGAGTGTTAAATTCTGTATCAGAAAGATCGAATAGTTGATTCACCCAGTTTCCATCTCTGTACTCCACCCCGTACATATGCGAAGAACCTGGAGAACAGCATAAATTTTGATACTCATTGGAAATAACATTTTCCACTACTGAAGAAATTAATTTTGGTAACCAAATTGCAGAGTGACGTATATTAGATAAATTCTTTAAAAAAAAAAATTTGCTTTTATTGTTTTTATAAGTTATGTGTATTTCTAATTAATAGCAGTAATCAAAAAAATGAATGGTTTGTGCTTCGATAGAAACAAGTTATCGATATATAAGAAACGTCAGTTAAATTATTATACCTTGTCCCCCTTCTACGTATTTTCCGGAGTGTAGTCGACATTAAAATCAAGGCAGATATAATTAGCACCCCCACCAGTATGTGAATAATGAGTTCCCGCTGCAAGTCCTGGATAAAGGATAAAGAATCATATTTGTTCAGGAAAAAATGAATGAATATTAAAGAACATACATTACTTCTTATCGGCCATCTCCGAATTCAAACTCTCCACTGAGCTTAACATTTACTGCAATTTAAAATGAGCCCACTTGCCATGAAAAAAGTGAATGTTCTTTGCAGTTTGACTGTATGATTTTATATTCTAAAGTATATGAATGGGTTCGGAGTTTGGGAAAAACAGATACATTTGAATACAAACGTGCGCCTACGCCTTACATACCACTGTACACAAGTTTACTGTTCCCTTTACAATTTCGTCTTCCCCATCTGGTGTATGTTGTCCCATATGCTAAATTAAGAAAAAAATGAGTGGTTATTGTTTAAGTGAACTTATGTTTAATAAAACAGAAAAATGCTTTCTACTCACTTTGACCAGGAATCTGAAAACAAAAACCAGAAAAAATGTTTTATTTGACTTTTACATTTAATTATTATCATTGAAAGTTGAACCCAGGCATCTGATTAAATGAGGTTACTCACATATTCATCTTCATCCGCATCTCTCTTCTTAACATCATGCTCCTGATTTGATTCGACAACTGAAGAAATTTCGCGCTTTATTCTGTCTTTATTTGCAAAGAACTTTTCTTAAAACTTGCCCGTAGAAAAGACAGCTCTCGTTCATACCTGTGTTATTGAACTCACATAATGTTGGGCTCAATAGCACGGAGTTATGTTTCAAGAAATTGTTTTGTATTCTAATATTGCGAAACAAGTGATTTGAGGCGTTCTCATCTCCTCTGAGATAGCTCTTAAATCGAAACCAGTTTCCAATGAAAGAAACCTTAGTTGTTGCATTTTTAATTTTTGGTAATAAAGGCATAGTGTCAGAACAAAGCTATTGACACGACGAAGTTTAATTTACTGTAGATTTTTATTCAAAATATGAAAGACGTACTAACCCTTCCATCCTTCTTTGACTGAAAGACACATACATCATCATTGCAGAACAAAGTCCGATGATAGCTGTCAACGCTGCAAATTTTTTGATACCTTGTTTCCATTGCAGCGACCGAAACACAGATATTTGCAAATCTCTTGGAGCATTCTCCTGTCTAGACGCCATCAAAGGAAATAATCTACAGAGAAGTTGGAATCTTAGAAGCAAAACCTGTAGGCAGACGATATAAAACTGTTAAACGTGCCAAATATTTATGATTACAATCTTGACATGTAATGCCAATGCTTTCTTTTTAATTTGTTGATAAACTATCCAGCCATTTCATTCAAAATGATTTTCGACTTGCAACGTTTCCTTTTCTAATCAAAAGAAACTCAATGCATACTAATGCTGTCGTTTATGAGTTTATGAGCTTTGGATACACGACCTCAAATTGCTGATATAACTTAGAACCACGAACTTGTCATGTTCACGAGCAAATCGATAAAAACAACTTTTTCTAGGTTGAAGTTTACATTACTCTTATAAATAAATCTTGTTTTGTCACAACGTAACTTATCGCGCTCATTCCACCGGAGGGTATGAGCGGTACTTCACGTTGCGGTTTGCAAAATCAAGATTAGCTTTCGTAACATACTCGCAAAGGTTGTTCTAATAAAGTATTACAGATTACAGCTATATTGGTTTTCGAAAACAACAACAAAGAAATTATGGGGCTCCAGAAGTATGCGCACCAGCGAGATCATTCATACTTCTGGTTTGTGCTGAGTCATTCCAATCATGTTATTAGTCAGGTGAGTAACACTTTAAGCTGATGACTCATTAGCATAGTTTGGCTGATATTATTTGTGTACTAATCCCTTCATATCTAGTTCATTAAATTCAACATTTTCCCGGGTATTGGAACTTTACACAAAATAACTTCCGGGTTAGGGTTTGCCAAAGTTTTATCCCGGTTTCTCTTAAATTTCCGGGCTGGATCGAAATTGTTTTTGCTCTTTTGCGAGTTTCGAGGTCTTTGAATGTTCGTTAGATGAATATACCCTCTAGCCATTGGCTTAATCCCTTCTCTAATATCGACTCCACATTCTTCGAGCGAGTTAGGTGATACAGTGTTTCATTTCCCTTGTATTCTTGATAATTAGGTGTCTGTCCCTTGGAGTGTCCATAAGAGGCGGTTAACCCGTCTTTATTCAAGGTTACCCGTTCGCTGTCTTCCATGATCTCTTCCAAGGTCTCTACTTCATATATCTTTCCTGTCCGGATTAACAGCATTTCTTGCAACCGAGGCCACGGATGAAGTCCCCCTCTTGCATAAGGGCACTCCTCATGTCTACAATGCTTTACCAGAATTCGCTGTATCTTATTTATTTCAGCAGTTTCGGGTGAAATCAGTTCCGCCGCCCAAACACCTGGTTCATCTTCTCCAGCTGCCAGTTCCATCCAGTAGGATCTTGACAACCCATCCGATGTAAAAACTTCATTCGTGCTCAAGTGTATTATTCGTTCAATCTGAAAACCCGATAAGTGATTAAGCCACCTTTGGATTAACATTTTGGGCGAAGGATTCTTGGGTTGCTCTTTCATCCGCTTCAGCAGGCCATAAACTCCCGTATTATCTGTTATTACCGTAAACGGTATCCCATATAAAATAGATTGCCATTTATCAACAGTTTCCTTGAGCGCTTTTAACTCCTTAGTGCAAGGATCATAGCACCTAGCTGCCGCTGTGAGCCATTTTTTGCTATAAAATGCTATAGGGTATACACTTTTGAATGGTGGTTCCTCACCCCGCTCAGTATGAAACATCACTGCTCCGAACCCGTTTTCAGATGCATCCGTTTCTACATACAGTGGTAACTCCGGATTTACATGATATAGTACCTGAGTCTTGTCCAGCTGACTTCTGGCAACCTTATAATCACTCAGGAGCTCTTCCGTCCATAACACAGGTGTTAGTCTCCCTCGCGTTGCCGGTACCTTTCCTGTCAACGCATCAAATTTAGCTAATTTTAAGCTCAATTTAGGTATGTGTTCCGAAATATATCTTAGGGCACCTATCCATCCCCTTAGCTCATAAATATTTCTAGGGGGTGTTAATTCTTTAAGAGCTCGAATTCTCTCAGGTTGTACCTCAATTTGTTTTCCCGTCAGGGTGGCCCCAAGAAGATTTATTTTACGTTTTCCAATAAAACATTTATTAATACTCAGGGTAAGTCTCATCTTTGCCAATTGCTCAAATGTCATGTGTAGGAGAATCATGTGATCTTCTACCGATTTGGTACTCAGGAACACGTCATCTATATAGGCGTCTATCGGCGTCGCCCTCGACTCGTCATCTCGACCTTTGTCACTCATATATCGTCTGTATCGATCCGTTATCGGTTTAACAATGCATTCTTGCATATTTGCTGACCAAATTCCGACGGCGTTTCGTAATCCCATCGGCATTCGTCTCCACCTTAGATGTTCGCCCTTGATAGCTATTCCCAAGTACTGTTTGGAACACGGCGTTACTTCCAAATGGTAGTAAGCTTTCTTTAAATCGAGCAGAGTTAATACCTCTCTACCTCGCGCCATCTGTTTTATATCAGGTACCAACGGCGGCGAGATATTGACTTCTTTTATCACCGCGTTCAAAGGTTGTAGATTCTGTACCACTCTCCACGCTTGCTTCCATCCATCTTCCTGTCTTTGGCGTTCATTCATTTTCTGAGGTACCACGAATATTGCCAGTTTCCATTCCGCAAATCCAACCTCGATTACCCCCAAATCCAGGAAATTTTGTACTGCTTCTTCGAGAGCTTCCATTTGCCCTTTACCTTTTAAATTATATGGTCCTGAAACAAATGGTTTTATATTGGGGTCTTTTAATTCAACTTTGCACGGATACTTAAGGGCTTGGGGCTTCTTCAGGTTGCCCCTTAAGTCCCCCAGTGTTTTAGAATAGGGTTCATAAACCACTTTCCACTCTTCTTCGGTGATTATTGTATTTTCTTTATCATTTTCATCAGGCGACACATACCTTTCTCGTGCTAAGGCTACCGCTTCCGCACTTAACAGACGTAGTTCCGTTCTTACTGCTTCGGCTGATCCTTCCTTTAACACATAGTCGCCTACTAGAGTTTTATTGACCCACTTCATTCTTTCATCCGGTACACTTATGACAGGCGATTTCGCTGCAGTCGATAAATCGCTGAAATTACCCAGGCATGGGTCCTGAGACCCCCCGTTTTGCTTGGGCTCGAGCTTAGGGTTTTCTTGAGTCCGCTCTGAAGCGTCGACTTCTTGAGTTTGCCCGGAGACACCAACTCTTTCCCCTTCTCGATTTATAGTGGCCCTGTTCAATTTATTTGACCCTTGGCCGCTAACGTCAGTGGCCCTGTTCAATTTGTTTGACCCTTGGCCTTTAACGTCATAATTGAAATACTTTCCCCGGTTTCTTACACTCAGGGGGAATCCATTCAGATTGGGGATTCCTAATATTTCATTGTACCGTGGCTCCCATAGGTCCACCTGGGGGTCGTCACTCCCAGATAAATCTACGGCCATGACTAGATCGCTCAGATGTGAAGACGGGTTTTCCAGCTCTGTCGTAACGGATTTTAAGGCCATTACTCTTTCTATCCATGCAAAACCAACTATGTTTAGTGGTACGCCTTTCCCTGTTGCAAATGGAATTTGCGTCCCTTCTATATTAATCGTTATTAGAGAGTCAACTTCAGACGTTCCCCCAATGCCCCTTAGTTTCATATTCAGGTTTTTTCTGGTCACCCAACTTTGCGGATAAGCCCTTTTTGCTGTTTCTATAGTCATTAGGTTTGGAATTGAACCTGTATCAGCCAAATAGGCCGCTCCCGTATTTTGGTCAACTAGGTACATCAATTTATCACCAAAAATATCCGAGAAATTACTGCTTTCTTGATCAAATTCTCCGAATAATGTAAACAAAGGTAGATTAAAATTATTTAAAGTTTTCATAATGTTTTTATAAGTCTTCATTTCCGGGAGCTGACTTAATGTCGCATTTGCTGAGAGTCCCGCCAGCTCCCTATACCGTTTCCCGCCACGTCCAGGCCTTGTTGGACTTGGGGTTGTGTCCAGTGTGTTGGTACTGGTCTTTGTTTGTTTCTTGGTTCAGCTGTCACAGGTGGCCTCCATTGATTCCTGTTCAGCCAGTGTGTTTTGTCTCTTTCCTTGGGCCTAGTTCCGAAATAATCTTCACATAAATTGGCCCTTTCCACTAGGGGGGGAGACCCTTGCGTTGCGAAATAATCGTCTAATTCTTTCACCCCTTTCAGCCTGAGGCCTAATGGGTTATGACCTCCCAAAAAGGCTCCCCAATTGGCAATATTCTCTTCTCTCACATGATCAGGCAATGGCCGTGCCCTTTCTTTAATTCCCCATTGTCCCCCGTCATTTTTAGCTAAAACTTTATCACTTAGCCATAATATTGCTTTAACCACACAGTTTTTTGAGAGGTGGCCCGGTGCTTTACACAAATAACAAACAGCCAATGATTGCCCGTTAGTAGGTGTTGTGTACAGTCCCAAGGGTGCAAATATGTTAGCATTAGCCAAGAAATCATATGACGAACCTTCTCGCTCTGCAATCTGCAAGGCCTCTTCAGAATTGCTAGGAGTCGTCTCTCTTCCAACTGGTGGTTGTTGTCTGCTTGATGTTGGGCGAGTTCCTTCATTGAGTGCCCTGGGCTCACTTCTTTGTGACGTGAAATTACCCCTTGCAGCTTGTTTTTCTTTACCTCTCCTTGGTGCATCCCTCATCCATGGTTTGTCAGTTGTTCGTGTAGTTCTGGCTGGATTTCTCCTCGGTTGTTCGATAGGTTCTTGCCTCCTTGGTACGGGAGGCGGTCTGCTTGGCTCTCGCATCCTCCTTTCTAGGGCTCTTTGCACTTCTTCGCTAACTCCATCTATGGGATACGTTGGTAGAGCATTTTTTATTGCAGTTAGGTCAGGGTGTATGTTGTAGACGTTCACGGGTGGGGTGCTGGTTGCCATTACCTGAGCCGGTGGATTACAACTTCCCCCTTTTCTTTCAAGTCCTCTTGAACTGTCTGTCGCCTGTTTATCGAGATCTTCCGAGTTCCAGAATTGCTCTAGTTCTTCAGCAAGGGTCTGCCAATCATAATGTTCTTTCCCTTGCAATAGTAGTCGAAGCGAGAGAGGGAGTTTTGCGCGGAGAATTCTGAATAGCCTTATACCATCTTGGTCATTTAGTATTGGGCTAGTGAATGGAATATCCATTTCTCTCAATGCTCGATGGATAGCCTGGATGGGCCTTTGTTTCCAAGTATATGCACTGGCGAATCTGTTTATCACCCTTTCGTTATTTACAATTCCTTGAGGGTTTGATAACGCCAATAACTTCATTATCTCTGTCCAGCTGGGGTTGGGTTCATTAAAAAACTCCGCAATCTGGTCTGCATCCCCTATTCTGCCAGCCTGCCTTAACTTTTCTTGCATGGCATTGGACAAGATTCGGTCGGCTATCGTGTTGCCTTCTCCATGTGGAATAAATCTCATAGAATCCTCCATGAATCTAAGGATATGCGTTTCCGCTGGATTCTTCATCACCGCCATCATTTCGTTCACATTCCAGGGTTTGGAAGGCGCTGGTGTGACATCAGAATCAAAACTATCCAAGGATAGCCTTCGGGCTAACGGTCGCTGTCGTGGAGTGGCGTCAGGCGCCGGTACCACTATATCAGGACTTCTTATCTCTGCCTCCTGGTATCCCTTGGATCCGGTGTATCCAGGAAGAGGTTTGTTAGTCTCTGCTAGCCACCAATTGTTCATAAATCTTTCGTGGTCTCGTTCTTCTGATCGGCTAAATCCCGGCGTCGGGAAGATTGGTTTTGGTATCAACATTGCTCGTTGAGATGGTAGTAACTTTACTCCTCCAGGGTTTTCTCCTGGTGTCGTGAGCAATCTCCCGCTCTTCACTCTCCCATCTTTCACCACGTCAACCCCTTGCACGCCCACCACCGGATAAGCTACCGTCTTTCCTTCCAGTTTCGGGTAGACTTTCTTTATCTGGTCTAATCCCTTTTCTATTAAGATGACGGGGCCCTCAGGAATCTCTGGGTCCCTCGCCATTGACTCGAGTTGTTGGTCAGATGCTCTTTTTTTTGCAACTGTTCTGTATTCAGGCGGACTTTCATCGTCTATCGGGGCCGTCGGCATTAGATCAGCCGCAGGCGTTATTACGTACACCGGTTGTTCTATTTTTCTGCTTTCAGGTAGAACTTCCCCTTGCCTTTTGCCCAGTTCGAACTCCCTTTTCAGGACTTGGTCGAATTCTTCTATTGTTACCTTGGAACCCGCTTTAGTAGCGGCCTTTTCCATGGACTTTAGGTCACCCGTCGCCGTTTTAAGCTCAGCTTGAGCAGTTTTTAACTCTTTTTGAGTTTTAGGAATTTCTTTCTTTATCTGGGTAAATAGTTTTTGTTTTGTTGCTAAATCTTGTTGCAACTTGTCTTTTGTTGTTTTAACCTCTTCGTGTCTTTTTTGAGTTTCTTTTAGTACTTTGATTTTGTCCTGTAATCTTTTTTCATCTTTGTTAAGTCTAGAGGCCCCCCTTTTTAACCATGATAACGGCATGTTTAAATACTTGATAGATTACTTAGTTTAGTTAATTTTTGTCTGTGAAAAATATAAACGATTAATTCCTGTAAAAGTTTAAATAGTTAACTCCTGTAAAAGAATTCAAATACTTTATTCATGGAAAACCTGGAAAATGTTTAATGGTTAGTTCCTGTAAGAAATTTTAGCAATTAGTTCTTGTAAACTTGGAAAAACGTTAAGTATTAGTTTTGTAAATGCTTAAATAACTATTCCTTCAAACAAGTCATTATATTGACTTCCTGAACAAGCAGTCTCCTGCATTTACTAGTATTATCATAATTCGCCTTGTTACGTTTTACCAATTTTTAAGTCTCTCTAATGCATCCGTTATCAATTCACTTAGTTCTACTTGCTCTTCGTCCAGCTCATAACAAACTAACTATTTATTTAAACAAGTAATAATTAGAGGTTACTCAAGGTTTGGGTCTCCTTGTCTTCTTGCCTAATCGTACTTCAACGGGCTGTATCAACAGGTCATTCTAGATCTGTCGAATCGTTGCCGCTTATTTTTTCCGATTCAGGCTGGATCTGGAAGGAATATGGGCGCAAGTACTTACTGCTCCCTCCCCCAGACAGAGTATTATCTTCTATACTTCTTTGCCTTTTTTCCCCCTTTTTCCTCTTCCAATTCCCTCTTGCTTCCTCTCTTTGTCACGTGCTGGATTCGTTACTGGAACAATGAAAGTAAGGTCAATATTTGCGTTTAAATTTGTTCCTAGCCTATCCCTTCTCAAAGAAAATGTTCTGATTAGAGCTTTTTTTGCGCGTGACTTGCTTGCGTATTCCTATTCATATGTTTAAAAATACTTAACTTTTTCGGATTCTTCCAATTATTCTGAGTTCCTCAAGTCCCTTTTACTCTTCGATCTTTCGAGTTCCTCGAGAATCGTCTGGAGAATCTCTATCCCTCCTCCTTCTAAAAGAGAAGACCAATCCGCTGCCACCAATCTGTGAGGAAGTTGTGCAGAATCTCTTTTGCTCAGGTTGTCTCTCGAGATCTTCAAAAGGCCTAAATTCAAAGTCAATGATTTACACAAGTCCTCCTAGGGTCCCCTTATTCTCGTCAAGTATTTTTAAATTTTGCTTTATTTTATTTTTCAACGAATCCTATTATAATAACGATACTTATACAAAACCGTCCGATTAGACTTCCATCTAAATCTGTAGCTTCTTTCGATCTCTTCTATTTGAACATCTTCCTACTTTAGCCCCAGATTGGGCATCCAATCAGATCTTTGCAATTTTTTTAACTTATCATTCATATAATTAAACCTTAATACAACCAAATACTCCAATCAGTTCATTTATAAAAATAAACATATACTATTCACATATTATTTTGGCATCCAATCAGTTTCAGTATAGTCGATCGAAAAATTTTTCAAGGTTTCAAGAAATAACCCAATTTGCCAAAGTCCACAAATATCATTCTTGATACCCCTACGCATTATATATGCGTTCATTTTTCGTCCACTATCCTGTTCATATGATAAATACATTTCAAAAATACAATCTCACTTTGACGTTATATACAATATATCGTATAACAACTGCATATATTATATAATACATGAATATACCGTGTCTCATTCGCGCATATTCTGAATATATCGTGTCTCGTTCGCATATATCCATTTTGTACTTATCAAATTAATTGGTCTACGAATCTTATGGAGGGTAGGACCCTACGAGTGCCCCTCTATACGTCAAGACCAATTTGAGATTTAATTTCTCAAATACGTTTCGTTCTCTTAATTTGGATAGCGTTCTTCATTCGATGGCAAAACATATCATTCAAATATATCAATCTTATAGTATTGGTTAATAATAAGGTTTTTTCACGTCTCATTTTATAATTTTTTTGTTAGGATTTTAATGTACAGGGTGAGACGTGCACCAATATAGTCAGATTAGGTATCTGGGTATAACTTGAATAAAAGCAAGACACAATTACAAAGAAAATATACGACTTAATAAGCATAAGCATATGAGAAGACTTAACAACTTCCTTATTAATTTTCTCTGTTTCATATATATATACATATCGGCTTATCACTCAAATAAGTTGAGTGTCCTTTCTTAACTTTGTTCTCCATATTGAGAATGCGGCTTCTCGTCTGAATAAGTCAAACGTCCGCTTCTTAACTTTGATCTCTGATACGAGAATGCGGCTTCTCATCTGAGTAAGTCAGATGTCCGCTTCTTAACTTTGATCTCTGATACGAGAATGCGGCTTCTCATCTGAATAAGTCAGACGTCCGCTTAATAAAACACAATACGACATTCTCCTTCTTGAGTACATGTCAATAAACAAATAGTTCGACATCAAAATATGTATAGTACTCTCCTTTCAGAGTTCATAGACGATCTACCTTATCGTCATCGTACAATAATTGTCTTTTTTGGATGGTCGTAATATATTTCTTTAGTCGCGGTTGGTTATTCGTTTTCAAACGGCATTACTCTGTCTTGTACTGTTTGAATCGTTGAATGATTATCTTGAAGGATCGTCCATTGTCGTGTCTTCCATTAGAGGTGGTTTCATTGTTTTTAGGACCTCGAACAGTTGATCACACGTGTAGGTAATTTTATAATGTTTAGCAACAGCTTTTGCAAAATCTGGAACCTTTATTCTTAGATGTTCGAGAAAAATAGCCTGATGTATCTTCTTAACAATTTCGGCATTTTCTTGTGATAGCATAACACCTTTTGACAAATCAAAGCCATCTTTTTCTACCATATGTTTTTCATAGTGTGCAGATGCTTCCAATAGATCTTGCTCTTTTCCAGTTATACGCATAACCTGTCTGCACTCCTCGCATTCCCAGATCATAATCTGATTCATGATGTCTTTTTATGTGTTCTTATTTCTTAGTATAAGCTTAATACTTAATACAATATACAATTGTTATATCAATCATTAGTCTTAATTAAACTTAAAATTCTCAAGACTTCTCATATAGTTAAATTTCTAAATATTCTTTTAAATATACCGTGCAGTTTCATAATATACTCGTATGGTCTATTTATTTATTATCCTATCTTTACTGACCAACCAAACATGGGCATCCCATATTTTAGATGACGTAATACTTTAAGTGCGTATTACTTCCGTGGTTACTATAATATACTATGTCCATACATGATCTATGTTATTTCCTATATTAAGTTCCCCTGGCAAATATGCTCTGGGATAACTTTAATATAAGTCCCACGATCATCCTTGATCTCATGATTACACGATAATACACTAACTATTAACGAAAAAAAATATACCAATAACAATAAAAAATATAAACAATAAACTACAACTACATTTACGGTAACTCAACATACATAATAAAGTATCATAAAAAATACGTATATTAATAAGTATATTTACGTTACTGTTAATAATAAGTATAATTTGTTATAAGTATTCGAGTATACTAATCAATCCTCAACTATAACTCTTCGTTATAACATGTTAAGTAAAAATTAATCATATAATAAACAAACACGTATAATAATTTAACAAACTAAATATATAAACACTACAACATACTTAATCATACATGATACGTTCTTAAAACAAATATACGATAACAACATACTTAATCATACATGATACGTTCCTAAAATGAGTATACGATACATATTATAAGTAAGTATAAATGAGTAATTCTAAGGAGTTTTTCTAAATTCGCATCTCACGATGATACAGCAACATCTTTAATTCAAAAAAACAATCCAATAACCAATTTTATAAAACAATCTAGTATGCCTTTAACTAGCGCTTTCGCATGAGTTCAATAGGAGTGCTCTGGATAATAAGTCCAGATATTCAAAGGAGTATTATTCAATATTCAATTTATAAAGTGTCAATCATTTAGATAACAATTACAACTTCTCACGGGAATAACTATTTTCGCGTATTTTAACAATAAATTTGCCATACCATACCATCCTATTTTCTAAACTACTAGGGTTCACTCATACAAATAATATAACATACGATACAATACAAATACACTATAATACTAAAGATATAATAAAAATACACTTAAAATTATCATACATTCTACGCTTAAGGTCCATATGGTGAAATACTCAGTAAATGACTTGTGTTTACATGAGATCCTAAGGTCCATATGGTGAAATACTCAGGAAATGACTTGCGTTTATACGAGCCTCTAATCAAAATTATTTTAAGCACAATTATTATGGGTTCTCAACAATTTCCTGTTTTCGCAATACCTGCGATCCCAGTGATTTTCCATATGCAAGTCATGCCCTTATTTTTTTATAATTTCTTACTCTAAATCATACATTAAAATATTACAGCACTAGGCAAATTTTTATAATTAACAATTTATAAACAACTTATGCAATACTGGTATTTTTGCTCATAAAATTTCTACATACTCAGAATACAATTATTTTCATACTGGTAAGCCATTTTTCCTTTTCGCCTACTTTTAAACAAGTTTCAAGAAAGTACGATAAAAATTAAAAGTTTAGAAAAATACGATAAAAAATTATAAGTACATGATAAACACTAAGTATAATAATAAAACACTTAATTAGATTTAAAGTAATTCTTAAATTCCAACAGGACTTTTCTTAATCCCATAAGAAATTACTTAGTCAAAATCAAAAATCAAAAACATAAAATTAAAGTAAAATTATACACAGAAAAAAATAATATAAATTTAACACATCACCAGAGTCCATTTGCGTTTCAAGTCTGTGAAGTAAGTAGCGAACAAAATTAAAATAATTTTGTTATCCCCTTCTTTTAAAATAAGTCCATATTGTCTTTATACAAGAGTCCATTCGTCCATAAGTTGTATGTAGATACTATCTATATTGTTGTTCCATATGGTTAAATCGACATAGCACAGGCTAGCTGCTTCTCTCATGAAAACATTTTAGCAACTGTTTTTGATACTCCCTTATAGCCAAATTTATAGTTCAATTTTCGCAGTGTCATGCTTACAATGTCTTTTCTTTTTTTCTTCACGAACATAATCATTGACATAAAATATTACCAAATTTCAATTTATCCATATAATAATCCCTTCTTCTCCACAGGGTAGTTTCAATTCATACTATATAGCCGCCAGAGCCGTATCTTCAATTCCCGTTTTGACAATATTTTTCAGCTTGTGTTTTTTAATTCTTCGACGTACCATCTGCTCGCCTAATGGATTTCCTACTTGAAAATAACTGGGTAATTTAGCTTTGGCCTTTGTACACTTAGGGTGATGTTGTATTAAACAACACAATATTATGAATCCCGTAACAAAAACAATAATTGGCGTTAGTATCTTCAAAAGTGGTGCAGCTAGGGCGCTCATTCCTGACCCCAGGATATTTCCAAAAAAGCTTCCAACCGTAGAAATGCCCTTTTGTAACACACTTCCTATCGTCTGGGACCCATTTGCCAATATTTGAGATACCACTCCCAATCCTTGGAACAGGTCATCACCGATCGTTACGTTTATAGGATCTATAGAAATATTTTTATATTTCCATTCCGTTGTATTAATAAATATCCGAGTGGAGTTTGTCCCATTCACCCAAAGCTCTCGAGCTAATTCACCTTTTTTTACCAATTCCGCCAAAGCTTCTCGTGCTTGTTCCACATGCTGCACATTCTGTTTATCGGTTTCATTTACTTGAGCCTTTTCCTTAGCTATTAATTGAGCGTATTCCTTCAGATGCAAGACTCCCCTACTTATCCTTGCTAAATAGACTTTACTTGTATCAAATAACAATTTAGCCGTTGCGTTCTTCAATACCCCCATTATTAATTGATCGATGGTCATTTCAGCCAGTGACATAGCGCGAATATCCCGTACTTGGTGTAAAAAGGCATCTAACTCGGATAACGTCACTTGTTGTAATTCTGATATTTCTCCCGCCAAGTAATTAACTTCAGATTGTCTTAACTGTTCTTCTTTAATCATGTCAATTATTACCACATTCAGCCTTTCGCTTTGAATATAATTGGCCCTTGATAATTCATTCAATTTGTTAGCTATCTTTTTAAGTTCTTGTTCGTCACGCGAAAACCTCACATTCAGCTGCGACGTTAATTCAGAAATTCTGTCATTTAATTCAGTCTGCATGGCTTTAGAACGGGAATAATTTATGGATGAGAATATTAAGGCCGCAATACCAAATATTTGTCTTTTGTGTCGGTTATTGTTTAGGCTTGTTTCGTACATAGATCCCCTAGATGAATCCGTTTCGCTCCATTCTGGATGTCCCTTCCCGTGTATTACTAAAGGTAAGGCCGGGAAACGACTTTTATTCGAAGCAGGGTCATAATTTACTTCTTCCCAAAACCTTAATTTTGCATTAATATCTCCCACAGGATGTTTGCATTCATTATTTCGAGCTACTCGTTTTTTACAATTGACATCCTCATTACTCATGGCCGGATGTGTTCTATATATCGGTAATCTCACCATATCAGGTAGATAATTCGTTTCCAACTGTACTGGCCCATCATACATCTCGCGCTTGTTTGTCGTTGGTCGCACCCATCTTATTCGTTTGTCCCAGTCATCCGTGAAGTTCATTCTCATCTGCGGGTTGTACTTCCTCGGGTCGAATATTACTGGCCAGATGTTCTGCGACGGTGATAAAGCAATCTCGGGCGTTAGCCTCATTGTACCCCAGCCATCAAAGTGATGAAACAACCTGTAAAAATATTGATCAGAAAAATTCCGCTCCAGAGGTTCCCAAAGCGTGTCCACCTCCTGGATAACAAAATCTCCCTGTAATGGCTCGAAAGCTAAGCCTCTTCCTTTGAATCTGCAACTTACGTATAAAAATAAAAACCGATTACTCTCATGAATCCATATACTTTTGAACGAACTGTTAGCCCAATCTATATCGTATGGTCCTTCTTTGACCTTTAGGTATGCCTTAGCCCTTATTGTTGCATATTGTCCGACTCCTAAGTAGTTAGTTTCCATCTTACTCGTACAATCGGCCTCGACAGTAGCATACGTTAGAAATAATTTAATCGCCATTGCTTTATAAACAGTCATGGTGGTAATTAATCGATTATTAGTGGGGTTGCGTTGGTACCCGTTATTGTTCCAGTTCCAAACATGTCTATAACTAGGTCCGGTGAATCTATTATATACCACCCTCCTTACCATATTAGAAAAAATAAGGTCAGGAGAGATTGTTGCAATTTTACGTGTACAAATACAGGTTCTTTCCAATTCCGTTGAATCTTCCCAATATTTTCCCTCCGGGAATTTGTGTTCTTGAAAGGTTTTTTTGTTAGCTATAGAATATCCAAATACAGGGCTGTAAAACAATCCTGCATTTTTAAAGGTCACTTCTTTATTTGATATATTCCAACAGTCTCCTAAATTTATTTCTTGCCAAGCTGTAATTTTCATCTTTTGGTAGTTGGACATATTTAACTGGTCGGTTTCTATTATTCGCCCGTCATTTATACTGGCTACCCCATTAACGAACGGTTCCTGTTTTTTTAGACCTCCCACTGTTCCATCTGCTTGGACCGTTTGACACATCCATAACAGGAAAAAATACAATGCGACACTAATGCGGTCACACTTAAAACCAAGATGAAAAAGGTTGCCCATTGTTCAGTTACAGGTGGCTCTTGGTCCATGTACTTTCCAATCAAATATGTCTTTGGTTCTAATAACTAGTCAGTTTTATTACTAGGATCTATTTTCTATTTACTGTAAAAACAAAATATAGTATAGCCAATATTCTCGATCAATTTTTTTCATCCCTGAGCCCGTTCCTTTGGTACTCGGATTCAATTCTGTCACAAAGCATAGGGAGGCAATCGAACGCGTATTTCGAAAATTGTTTGTAAAATTGTGAGATGCAATTTGTCAGTGATGACGTCAGCGCTTGACTACTGACATCGGAAAGTCTTAATACTGCCGCTAACTTAGGATTGTAATCGGGATGTGTAGAATCTATCGCTGGGCCATACCTATCATATCCCCGTCGTTCGCTGGACGACAAACTTTTATATTCACTTTCCTTCTTCCTTAATTCGGTTAATAGGCACCCATTCTCATGCATGATCTTCACTTGTTTAAAAGCCATAGCCTCTATTTGTTCCGGGGTACATTCGCCAAATTTATAATCATTAATTTCGTTTTCTCTACCTTCATTTAAAGATTGTTCCAGAATCTCTTCCACGTCCGCTATATCTATCTCACTTAGGGCTCCAATCTCGGATTGGGTAGCATCCATCGCACTTTCGCCAGTCTCTGGACACTCTCCCGAATTTATTCCGTTGTTTAGCATCGCCTCTTGGACGGAAAGATTCTGGGTCATTTCACTCAATCTCCCTGCGGAGTAGGACGTTCCGTTCGGGATACTGCCGAGAATGCTGGACACCGGATTGTTTTCAGCGTCATCACTGACTCGTCCTGCTCTCGTACCCCTCGCCTCGTAGGGATTCAGCCTGTATTCTTCCATCATCTTGCAGAAATCTATCCAACTCAAGACTTCCACTTGTTTGATTCCTTCCCACGGTCGGGTAGGCACGAACATTACACATGAGTAGGCACTGTCACCTTCTGCCATTTTAGTTACTTATTCCTATTAATTATTACTTGTAGCCTGTGAATACATTAATTATTGAAATATGCACAATTGTTAATAACACAACATTTATAATCAAAATATACATAAGAATTCACAAGTAAAAAAAAGAAACAAAAAATATTGTCTAATCAATTTTATAAAGGGGATTGTTAGCTATTGCTCTCAATATTTCAGAAAAATATCTCGATTTTGTAAATTGCCTTTTCCAAACCCATTCGTCCAAATAGCTCTGGACCATATGCCTGGCTACCCCGTTCATGGCTCTAAACCTCTTTTTAATTTCACCCCACAAACTCTCAATTTCGTTCGTGTGAACACCCATAGGGGAAACATACTCTATGCTATGATTTACTGTTTCATGAATGTATCCCATCCCCATTTGCTCTAGTTTATTATAGGAGGGAAATTGATCTGTCCATATGCGGGTCCCCCTCGCTACATTTTTGGCTATAAGTCTTAGCATGGTTGGAGCCGTGCGCCCCGTCTCTTCGGGAACCAGTTCTAGGAATAACTTCTTTGAGGAACTTTCTACGCCACCCAGCAACCACAAGGCCTTCACCGGTCTGCTCCCGCGGTTACTTGAAGCATTTCTTCTTACTATCTGCGTCTCATCGATGGATACCGTTCTTCCAATCCTCCTATGAGTCGACCCTTCATGTCCAAGTCCCTAGAACACACTCCCCTCAAAAGCTTTTCCCATTCCGCAATTGTCCTGTCTGACAATCCTGTTTCATTTGAAATCCGTTCTTGATCGAATTCGTTTGCCCAATAATACATTAGTAATACTAGGTCTCTTAAATTGGCCTTACTCCCTTCAAAAATAGAGTTCTTCCGAATCGTTATTATGGTTCGACATACCGTCTTTTTGCATCTCCATCTGTACTCTATCTTATTGCGGCTTCTGAACCTTTCTTCACGCATTTCTTCATTACAATTCGGACAAACCATGTGATCTGCTAACAGGCGATGTTTCCTCAGAAATTCTATACATTCCTTCGGATCATTCTGAAACACTCCTTCCTGGGCTAAGGTCACCGTATTCATTGTTTCTTCATAGTCGTCCCCTGTTAAAGCATTGGTTAGATCCTATTATGGTTATCATAAATTCGCTAATTTACTGTTTACGGGTCGTGCAGCAGATAGGCATATGGAGTTATATTTTCCTTAATGACCGGTCAATCAGTTTCACATTAATGAGTCATTATTTCCGGTATCTGATTGTCCGCCATCTTGGTTCGCATACTTCGGGAGCCCCGAAATTATTCATGAGTCATAGGTTATAACTTTCTGTGCGATAACATCAGGCGAAATCGAGTTGCAGCTATAGCATTTACAATTTGAAGCATTTAAAGTTTGAGCTAATGCAAGATTATAGAGAATTGAAAGATTATAGAAGGGTAATATTGTTCCTATTGACAATTCATTCAGATAATTTTATCTTTTCCGTATATAGGAAGGTACATTAAGTTTATTATATCACCAATTTAGGAATACATAGTCTAAATACACATAGTTGCAACTAGATCATCTTTTGGCGTATTTGCAAATTATTCAACAGAATTCGCTCCATGAAATAAAATACCAGAATAGTGGTGTACAAGAGGGTACAAAAATCAAGTTTGAGTGCCTGGTTGAGTAATTATAAGTTAATTTTATGTTGAGTATCTTTTAAGCCGTCTAAGCTATAGCTTCAGATATAATTTATCAAAATACCTATACAAATTAAAAACGTTTATTTATTTCATTTCCAAATTTAGCAATATATGACGTATTGAGTTTGTAAACTGCATGGGCCAACTCCAACAATGTTGGATTTTGTCAATATTTCATGCAGTAAAAGCAAATTAGCTTCCAAAAATTTTTACAACCTGGCATGGATTTTTGCCATAGTGGCTTGTTGTCTCAGTACGTTTCTTGCGATTAAAAATCACGAAAGAATGAAAAGGTGAGCATTTTTTGTTTACGCAAGAGAAACTTGGCAATGCGATATAACCGCTTGTACATTTTGCAATTCTGTTCTCCAGTTGAAACTTTCAGCTTTTATAATCCCATTGCCTTCAGAATACTATGCTTTTAACTGTATGTAACATCATTGGCTTCTATACTCATTTATTACACACTTTGTCATTTGAAATTATCAGAGAATAATTAGACCCCATGATCGTTTGTGTTGCAAGTATTTTAAAATTTGGGGCCGAAGACACTTATTTGAAAAAAATTTTTTTTAAACAAAAATAAGATGCATAAAGCTATTGAATTTACCCGAACATACAGCGGATTTGACAGTTCAGTGATTAACGAAAGTTTCAATCTAATTTAACTTCGTTTAATGTTATCAAATAGCATGACTAGCCAATATTCAAACGATGTTTTTTGTTATTTTTCATTCAATTCATATTCAATAACCTTAGATTTATATTAATCATTTTAAAATAAATTGTATCCTTTTTATGTAAAAGATTGCAACAAATTATTTGTGCTTTGTAAAAGTTATAATATTTGCAGATTTGAAAAAACATTGCTAATAACAAGAAATATAGCACAAAAACACAGCGTTTTGATGCAAAGTCGAATCAAAAGAGAAATACAAGAATACAGGAATGGAGAAGTTCCAAAGCTCGTAATTAAGAAAAATGAGAAAAATAAGAAAAAACCCATGGTAAAATTTTTCCTGGTTATTCTTGGACAATCCATTTTTCCGATCACTAAATGTTCTGTAAATGGAAAACATCTGCGGGAGAGTTGCAAATTTACCAATATAAATATCCATGTAATCAGGAGGAGTATGGCTTATTATGAATATGACCGAATCGGGAGAAAATAGGGGTCGTTATACCAGTATTTAATCGTTTAATAAAATCATTATATTAAAATTATTAACAATACTAATTTATTTATTTTTAGGAGAATCTTGTACTGGAGAGTGGTGAGTACGTTATGTACAAAATGAATGTTCTAATCATTAGTGTTAGTGCAATTGGTGATTCGTAATCGAAACTACAAAATAGATTTGACGAGAATCAGCAAACCGTTCTGCATTGACTTTTGAGCAAAATATTTGCATAGCAAAATACGTAGCTACTATATATAAATAAATTGGACAAACAGTAAATTAATGTGATTATAACGACCGTACAAAAACTATTTTACATGTAAAGGCGGAACTACATACGTGAGATGGGGAAGGAGAGATTGTCCCGAGAAAACCCTCACCAGCATTGTATACAGTGGTAATGTATACGCTAGTCTTTAATATTATGCAGCTGTCATGCTGACTTTGGTATTCTCCAAATGGCCACTTACTTTTTCTATGATCGAATTAAATAATCATCGTTAAAGTTTCCTTATCCTTTTGTTCAACATGAATGGATTGCTAGTTTATTTAAATGTACCGAACACCAAACCTGAGTGGCACATTTTTAAAGGTGTTGCTGCTGGTACCCATTATTCACATGGCGGAGGCGCTGCCAAATACATTTGTATATTTGGAAACATAACTTATGATCACGGAAGATATGTGGAAGGATCTCAAGGTTTGTGCCTAATGTTATTATACTTATCGCTGATGTCATTGACATAGAAAAGTAATTTTTTGGGAATTAATTCCATAAAGATTTCATTCTGTTAGTTTAATAATTTTGCAGTGGATGAAGAATTGACCAAACGACATTTTGCAACTATGCGATATAAGAATTGATAACTCAAGTGTTAAAAATTGCAGGGTCCTCTCACATTTATGGAGTTGAATACAGGGATAGCGCATGGACGTATCCTTTGTTTAACCTGTCGGAAACAGAAAATAACGCTTTACAATTTCACTCTGTACCATGTGCTTTATGCATGGCAGAAGCAATGGTGGCTCAAGTATGTTGAATAAATATTTATTATTGTTATTACACATGACTGGTTCAATGCAGTAAATTCAATAAACATTCCACTATTTCGTTTATGAGAAATATGCGATTTTACAACGATTTTTGTTAAATATCTGAATTTCGATGGTAAAGGAAAGGAATTTATACCTCGATCAACGAAGTTAGTCGCAGTGTGAATTTACATGTTGATTTATAATGTCAAAACAATATACACGTTATGCAACCAACTGCAATATGCGTTGATATCGTTTTGAAATATTTAGATAATGATCCCCGGACGCGAATCATGCCCTAAAGGCTGGATGTTGGAGTATCGAGGTTACATCATGGCTGGGGGACACGGAGACACTCACACTTCGAATTTTATATGTGTCGACGAAACACCTCAAGTCGTTCCTGGAACCAATGCAAACGATAAAGGATCTTTTCTTTTTATGGTTGAACCTCAATGCCCCTCACTACTTTGTGAGCCTTTTGTGGTTGGAAGAGAGTTACGATGTGTAGTTTGTACAATGTAAAAATATTCTATAAAATGGTATAATTATCCTGTATAATTTTATTTGCGTCTGTATGACTACGAATATATGTGATCTTTTTGACTGTTTTTCATTCATCGTGTATGCCAGGACTTCTCAAACTAGGGGCCACGAAGAGAACACCAATTTTACACAAAAGTACCTTTATACTTTTACTATCTATTGTACTTTTTTAGACACTTGATTCGAAATACAATTATATAAACTACTGTTAAAGTAAAATCTCACTATTCCAAGTGAATACATCACCATACTCCAAAAACCATTTATTGTCTTCAATTTTGTTTCAAAAATAACACTAGGAATTTTTTGGGGCATGTCTTTCATTTCATTTTTCAAAAAAAAATGCGAAGTAAAGAATTATGATACTTTTAAATATACAAAGAATGAAAACTGATTTCCACTGACCTATACGGTTTTATTTAAAATAACTACTAAACATGGTTTACTAACTATTAAAAAGACTAGGAAAGATTTTTGCTATCGCCTAGGTCGGGCAACCCCTGGCACTTGGCACGCGAGCCCATTTATTCGGCACGCGAGCGAATCCTCGGAAATGAGATCATGTTTCTTCAGATATAAAGTTTCAAAACTATGAATTATCTGATGAAACTAGGTGTTCGTTTATTCATTATCGTATGTCAACAATCCGTTATTTATTTAAACTTTTTTTTTTCCTTTTGTGACAAATGGCTGCACAGAAATATATTAGGGGGAAAAATGATGAGCTCTCGAGAAAATTTGTCGAGAAGAACGCAGCAATATTTTGGTTGCATTCTTATGTAATATAGTTCGTCTGTACCACCCTTTTCTTTATTTCTTCTCGATTTAAGAAGTTGAACAGCTCATGTTGGTTAGAGTTACTTGCTAACTCACTGTTATAAACTGATTTCGAAAGAAATATAAGCGATTAGGGAAGGAAATAGAAGAGAGAAGTGCAGATAACGGACTATTGCGTGATTTGGATGCCATTGCCGAAAATTGTTCGTGTCTTACAAACTTTGCAACTGCTTTACTCTTCATGTTTCCATCTACATATGCTTGTGAATCTCTGTTCTCAGTTATGAACATTATCAAGTCTCGTGGCAATAGTAGTCTGAAAGATGAAACCAATAGTTCGTGTATTTCTTTGAGAGTAACAAAATATAAACAAAATGTAAAATCTCTATCATCGGTAATGCAGCAGCAGAAGTCTGACTGATATTTTTTTAATTGTGAAGGTTTGTAATTGTGTATTTTTGCTTTAAAAGTAGCAAAGCATTGTTTATAATTTTGGTCGTACGGGAAAGAATGTTGTCATCAAATTTAGCTGATTTGGGTACGCGAGCCGAAAAAGGTTTCCCACCCTGACATAAGTCGGAAAACGTTTTGCGCTATCAACTAGCTCTTATTTTAAAACGAGGGCTTATATTAAAATCATTTTTAAAATTCAAGATAAGGCTTATTTCCGGTGAAACACGATAGAATCATCGCGCATGCTTAAGAATGCCTATTCCGATCGTAAATCCCAATTCGCGCGTGCTTACATAACAATGCCGGATTTTATCGCTAAGCCAGCGGTTACCGAAGGCGATTTGTCGAGTGTGGCTCTAAAATTATGATTTTTGAATATCAACTAATATATAATTGAATATTTTACATATTTTATTTATTTCAAATGTTTTATTGCTTCTTACTATTGCAAATGATGTGTATGAATCAAGAAATTAATTTTACTTTTCTGTGTTATTCACTTTCTGTTACGTAGCGTCCAATGTTACACTAGTAGAGGTGAATCCTACTTGCTGCAATTTCGTAGGCTGCAGTTTATTATTCGTTCACTGAACCGAGTTTAGCGAAAGTGCGTGATTTCTTAAAGCATATTAAATGAAAATCAGGCTGAGATAGGGAAGAGAAGTTTTTTTTATTCTTCAGGCCTACATGTTTATGAGCTTTAAAATAAAGTACACATCAACGATAAAAGTGTGTTTAATTCAAAGGCAGCATTTTTTCGTGTAGGTGCCCAGTGAGTTTTTCCTTGATAATTTGGCGTCGCACGTCTGCTGCTTTGTGTTAAATTTTAAGAGTGAGCAACAATGCTGGATCGGAATCACCGTCGGTGGCCAGAATCGTAATTCATTATCATTGATGCCTGTATTAATTAACGAACATTGAGCAACGACTGGGCCTTCTATGCAGCAAAAAGTAGTCACACCCATCCCACTAGCATTCGAGTAACGTTAATCTGAGTAAATAAGTGTTCATTATGTTATATGGTAGGCCCTAATAGTAGTGAAATTTACTGTATCAGTAAAAATCTCAAAAAATGCATATTTCGAACTGTTTAGCATTATTGCCGTGAACAAGGTCCGCGAAAAATTTTAGTTTACTGAAAGGGGCCGCGAGCTCAAAAGTTTGGGAAGACCTGGTGTATGCCAATAATAATTTTCTACAATTCAGAGAAATATTAAAATTTGACGAGTGTTAAAGTTATGAATGTTCGTTATCCAATGTGTGTTAACTCTATGAATTACATATGCAGTCGGTGTAAATTTTGCAAGTACCAATAGTGATACATATTCCTATATGTAGCCATTTAAAGCATTGTCTCAGTAAATCACAGCAATTACATTTTTGCTGTATCATTCATCTGTATAATTATTTCCGGTAGCGTGCCAGTATTTTGCCCGACCTATTGACCTTCAATTTGAGTTGTAGGCCTAATTCAGATTAATGCTATATTGTTACATCGAGAATCGCATTCACTTTAATTTTGTATTGACTTAAACATTGCGTCCGTTTAACTTGTGTAGTAATTTATTTGTTATTGTTGACGCCGTAATTTCCCTTGATTGACTGTGTGCTTCTACACACTCTATTACGAAACAATTGAGAGAGTCTACGTGGGTAATTGCTTTCCCAGGCATGTCTCGCTTAGACAGGAATAGTTTCGGTAATTTGCTTTATATAGCGCTTCACTTTTGCAGAGAATGGCGCTCGTTTCGTTGTAATTTGTAAGTAAGTTAAAATTGTTCAGCGACCTTGACTTTCTGTTTTGACAGTAGGACTATTGAATAATGTAGATTATGGCTGCCCCACATAGGCCTAGTTTAAGGATATTTTATGTGCAATAGTTTGCATTTGTGATTGTTTTTACTGTTACAGTTTATTTAATTGATTTGTTCGGATTTCTTTGACGAATGATTTCATGGTCAACTTATGATAATTTAAGCCTGGAATAGCAGAAAATTCGGCATGTTATAATATGTAACTTTTTCTGATTTGAAGGCTGCAAGTTATTTAATAGTAATTTGGTTCCATTTGCTAATTAACTATGTCTGCTAATTGTGTTCATAAAGTGAGTGGGCTTTCTAAAGGCCGAATTGTGTATGATTATTTTATTATTATTTCAAGTACCTTGTATGATTTGTTTTTACGTTTGTATTAAGATAACCGTGTGAACTGTATACTTCGAGTTGTGTGATTTTCTGGTTTTGAGGATACAAACTTGGGGCCTGAAAGACCGCGTTATTAAACTGTTAATAGAAATCTAGTGTGTAGTCGATGTCGTCCAGGTCACAAAGAACGTATTGTAAATGTTACAATATGTTTATATTACCTCATTCTCTGAAATATTTCATCATGTGTTTTCTAACGCGGGGCATCTAATACACCTCCTTCACTAATAACACAAAGCACGGTTAATAATGGTAACTAACCACCCAAGCACTTTAGCTCTCTCATTAATTTACCCAGTTCAGCATTTTTGCTTCTTGTAATTCTGCTTTATCGGGGAATACCCTCTTATCCTCTAAGTAGGCCGAATGCTAATCTCATGTACAGTAATTTGTGATGCGCGATGTTTGTTGGTAAACTTCCCAAATCGTCGCTCATCAATATTAACAGTACTCCGACAATCAATATTTTAGAACAAATGTTCAATTAGATATTCTTTATATCGCGCCTTGGTTCCCCGGCGCTTTCCTTTCTCAGTGAAATGTGTTTCAATTTAAAAAAAAAAATTCAACTTTGCGTGGTATCTTTTTACTGAAAGGAGAAACATAAAGTAGACTATATTGACCATGACTTGATGGACTTGAAATTTTGATTACCAGACGTTCTCACGAAATAGCAGATATTTTTATCTTGTAATATAGCCACAAAATTTCCGCAACGTATGAAATAGAGTTAATAAATTTATTATGATTGTTTCCCAAAGTGCAGTTTTGACTACCCGATGAAAAGAATTGTATGTAATTCGTAATTCCAAAAAGTTAGCAGGAAGTTGAAAATAAATTAATCGTGTGATAAAAATCCAATCCCGCAGCACCTTAACATACTAGAAAATAATGAAAAAAAAAAAACGGGTGGAATAATTACCTGTAGGTTTTATACATAATCTATAGACGGGTACATGACTAAGATGAGAAAACCACTTGAAAAAAGAAATGAAGGCACCACTGGGATAGTTTTGGAGACAATTGTCATGACAGATTTCATTTTCGCAAGTCAACCATTAGTCCAACATTAAGCGTTTCTATTGATAAATTAACACCGATATTGAGCCCTGACGTCTATGGTTGATTCCGGACCGATAACCTGCGTTAGGTCTGAAGTTTTTATGATAACATTATCATCGATGAACAATGTGATTTTGTCACAGTATTTTATAGCGTATGCCAAATATCTTTTGTGTGTAATGATATTTCCATGCATATCGAATATTTAATATCATGACATTTGTCAAATAATATGTGATAAGTAGTGGGGCCTCTAGTAAATATTGATTGATAAATGTATTATTTTTGAGATCGAGGTGGCGTTTTAAAATTTTGTGTAGACAACGGTTCAATAGATTAAATGTTTACATTAGTTTGGTAACATTGTGTCTTATGTGTATTAACCAAACTTATTGGAATGTTCGGTTGTATCAAGGTTTAAACCATTGAAGTAAATAAGAATTAAAACTCGAGTTGGTGTAGACAAAGAGCGATGACCTTCGTAGACGGGGCGGTGACCAACTTACCGGTGAACATCGGAAGTGTTGCTGTATGTCTGCAGAAGGGATAGGACAAAGACTGCACCAGGTCAAGAATATCGCCGTGGAAGAACAGCACTTCGGAAAAACGCAAGCTGCAAGTAGCTTAGTCGTTCCCTATCCTAATTAACTAATTCAATGAATATTAATTAGAAACAAGGATACTGAAGCATCCCTGAAAAACAACACTAGTCCAGAATACCAGTCCTCACGTGGAAGACTCCAATCAAGAGACTAAGTATTGTGTGTTTACATGTCATACTTAAAAAGACATTTATAGCAACCAGTGTTTAATTAAATCAAAAAGGAGAGGGGGATGTCGGCAGTCTGCGTGGTCTAAGTTTTAGTTTAGTTCGGGCTCGTTCCATTGTATATCGTCATCGGGATGATTATCGCTAACTCGTCGTCATCATTACTTATCGATCTTAAGATCGGTAAGTATATTGATAGGTATTTGTCTGTATGTCTGTCTGTCTGTCTGTGTGTCTGTTAGAGGCACGCGATATCTCACGAAAGCGAGATTGAATCTGCTCCAGATTTTGCATGTGCATTCATCTTATCTCGGACCAGAATCCTATTGATTTGGGGCGAATTATGTCGTATAATTAGCGAGTTATCAATCAATTATTGATATAGTGATCCAGATTTTTGTAAAGCGAGAGAATTTTGAGACCCGCCGAGTGTGTGTG